CCCCCCATCTTTCCCCCTCAAATAGGAACAACCAAAGAATCAACAACTAGCCCCACTCGGCACATTCGTACACTTCGAACTCGTCTTCCCTCCACTGACACTCACATCCGTCCACGTCCAATCCGAACAACTGCCCGACCCGCACGAGATGAGGATGTTGGTCCCCGAGCTGACCACCGAGCCGTGCACGTTGTCCAGCACAAAGTCCGTGATCGGCACCCCCGTCGTGGGCGTCGATGACGTGTCGCCGTAGTTTTGCTGCACCACGATCCCGTACTTGGCGATGGAGGTGAGCGTGATGTCCTTGTAGGTGACGTCGGACACGGAGCCGGTGGTGTCGATGTTGGTTTTGATGCGGACGCCTTTTTTTCTCTCTTAGTCTTAGGCTTGGGGGCGGGGTTGGTGGTATTGGGGTTGAGTACGGGGTGGAGAAGAGGAAGGGGAAGGGGAAGGGACTGCAGGGCTGAGGGATAGGGGCCGGTGGTGAGGTGAAGGGAAAGAGGCTGGGGCTCAGGTAAACGCACCATTATCCGAATTGATGATCGTCGAATCCACGAACGTCACGTTCTTGACCGTATTATCACTGCGTCCGCCCACCGAACCAATGGACAAGCCGTGTCCACCGGAGCAGTAGCCGCCCGAGAAGTAGATATTCTGCGTGGTGCTGTTAGCCACCACCACCACCACCACCACCACCACCTCATTCCCTCCAAACCCAATCGCCGAGGGGTGAACTCACCTCCCCCGAATTTACAGCCACGCAATCATCCTGATTATACACCGTGGCCCCCGAGATCGTGACATACGTGCTCGTGCCGATATCAAACGCATCGGTATTATGCCCGCCATTGTCGTCGCCGTCCGAGTTGTCGATCGTGATATCCTTGAGGGTCAGATAATCCGACCCCGCAACGCTGAAAACCTGCACCGGCGAGTTGACGATCTTCAGTCCGCTGATCACCGAGTTGGTCAGGCTGTGCGCCGCGAAGAACTTGGGCTTCGTCTTGCCCCCGTTCCCGCCCTCGCCGTCCCACCACCGGCTGCCGTCCCCGTTGATGCTGTGCCCGCTCGCCCCGGTGATGGTCAGGTCGCTCCCGGAGACGGAGATCAGGGGGCCGCTCCATTCCTTGTAGCCGAAGGTGGTTTCGCCGGAAAAGATTACCTATCCGTTTATCGTCAGACGATGGTCAAAGGGGTGAGGTCTGGAGGTGAAAGTGGAGGGGAGGGGAGGGGAGCGGGGGCAATGGCTTGGTGTAAGGAGAGGCTACATGAGTCCCGTCGTTCAGCTTGGTCAGGTCCAGCGTCGTCCCCGACGGAACGGCCACATTCGACAACACAATGGTCGAGCACGAGGTCTTGGACTTGCTGGCCGACGAGGCGCCGTTCGATCCGGAGAACGTGCAGGTCGTCGCGCGCTTCGCGATCTCCTCGGCCGTAGGCGGGGCCGTGATGGCCGGTGGGGCTGGGCTGGCGAGGACGCTCGCGGCCCCGAGGGCGAGCGAGACGAGGAGGGTGGTGTTGAGCTGCATTGTTGGATTGGGCCAAGAGGGTTCAAGCTTCGGGTTGTCTTGGTGGTCTTGGTGGTGGTTGTTCGAGGGCGCGGGTGGGTATTTATGCCTCTAGCAGTGGTTGCAAGTCGATGCTCGGGCGATGTGATATCGTAGGACAATCATGCAGGGTCTACCACCCCCGCGTCTCGATCAATGGTAAGTGGTGGAATAACCATTTTGCTGGGTGGATTGGGGTTGTTTCGACCCCGTGTCGAGGACGAAGTATAGCATACTGGGGAACAGGAGCCTGCCATGGAATCCAGTGGTTCTCAGCTCGGGCGGAGTTGCCGCCAGGGCAATCCGGGGAAGTCGCCGACGGAATGATATTCTCCAGGGGCTGGTGGCTTGGTTCGCTCTATGAGTGCGAAACGACTAACCTCCATCCCAGACGGAGGACGGCCCGTGTGAGGGCACGAACACCTTATAGTCCAGCTCGCTTAGACGGGGGTTCTGCGTAAAGAGGGGGCATACAGCGACCCTGGTTCATAGTTTGCGGAGGTATAGGGGGAGGAACGGCACTAATTGGCGGAATCACTCGCGGGCGGCGGACATTTCAGGGCTGATGACGATGTTTATCTTTCTCTTGGCTTCACGGCTGGGACTCGTCTTGGCACGGTGCTCTTGGCGGAGGAGCCCCTGAAGATATCCGGCTATCCCACAGTCGTCAGATGGATGTTGATCCATGGTTCGGTTGGAGTTGACGAAATAGCCTTAGATAGGTGATGTGCCTCTCCAGTCAAAAGAAGTGTGCTAGCTTGAAGTATGCCTGATTGTATGCGGTTCATGATGGCTGGCCAAAAAAGAAAGGTCGTGCCCGGGTTCGAACCGGGGTTATTGGAATATTTCCTGGCCCGAAGGCAAGCGAGGTCAAAATCCAAAGTGATAACCACTACACTACACAACCTGTAGTCGGTGCTGCTGCTCGCTTTAATAGCAGATGTAGTCAAAGACTTGTTTTGCATCATGTTTGGGGAGCTCTTTGAGGCACTTGTCAGTCTAACTTAGTAGGTACTGTGTCCTATGACAATTGCTCTCGCTTGATTTTATCTCGAAAACAACTGAAGCATCATGCTCAGTCTTCGCTCTATGATACCGCAATACTCGAGAATGTATTTCCGCGGCAGCGAGTCAGTTGGATTCACTGCCGAGACCTGTCCGGCAACACACCCTCCCATCTCAACTGGAGGAAATGCTGCAATACAACCCCTCTACACAAAGAGCTTGAACCCTCCCGGCACACCCGTCTGAAACAATCCCTCGGGATCATACTTCCGACTCGTCCGCCGCAGCGCCGCCACACTCTCCTCCCCATACCCCCAAATGACATCCTGGGCTGCATCGGCGTAGTTCATATACTTGAACGGTCGAGACACCCCGGCATCTTTGGTGACTCCCTCAATCGCCTCGATGAGCGACTTAGCCGTCCCGTGGACCAGCTCTGCATCACTCGGATCCGGGAAGAAAGCCACCAGCAGAAAAATGACCAGTCGATTGTCGGCGGGATCCAGACCCAAGCTGTTGCGGGCGTGCAGGGCGGGGGTGGGCTGGAAGCTGATGTACCAGTTCATGTTCTTGCCCCCCGAGATTGAGGCCACGGATCTGTTGTACAGGTCGAAGATGGCCGAGTACACGGCAGGATCGTGGGCGAAAGTGGTGGTGTAATACATTGTGCTATTGGAAGTGTCAGCATCACACAGAAATTCGGATCGAGGTTTTGAAAGACTGGACAAACCTAAATCCAGGAACCTGGTAGCTATCCTCCTCGACGGCGAAGTCGGACATGTTCGTCACTCGCAAGGTTTTGTACAGCACCGTGCTGTTGTTGATCCGGTTTTGATAGACGGCGGGGTATGGGCGTGGCTGGGCGTATAGCATGATGAGGGTCGCATGGACGGCCGCATGCTTGCTCGTCCACCCGTACGACTCGATCAAGCCCGCGTGGGGGTCCAGCCCTGCCGGCTCCATGAAGTCCGAGTACGCGGCCAGGAGGCGCGGCGCCTCCGTCCCGGGGTACGCGGTGAAGCCCGCCCAGAGCTTGCCGAGCGGGTGCGTCCGCATGGTGAACCGGGTCACCACGCCGAAGTTGTTCGACCCGCCTTTCAGGGTCACGAAGAGGTCCGGATGTCTGTCGCCGGAGACGCGCAGGATTTCCCCGCTGGCCACCACGATCTCGTACTCCAGCACGTCGTCGCAGCCCCATCCGGCCGTCACGCTGGGGACCCCGATGCCACCGCCCGTCAGGAAGCCTCCGGCCCCGATGACCGCATCGCGACCCCCCGTGACGGTGATGTTGAGAGGATCCAGGACCTGGTAGACCTGGAGCCAGCGGGCTCCTGCTCCGATCTGCACGGTCGCACGGTCGGAACTCACCTCGACGGTGCTCATGCTGCGGAGGTCGACGGTGACGCCGTCCTGAATGTTGGCTGCACCGGCAAACAAGCTGTGTCCGCCGCTGCGGATGGCGAACTGCTCCCCCCGCTCGCGGTGCGCGACGGCCATTGTCTCAACACGTTCGAGACATCTTGGGCGGAGGTGGGCCGGACCACGCACGCTGGATGGACGTTTTGTTCTTGGTAACTGAAGAAAGAACCGATGGACTCGTTGTAGCCGGGACTGTGGGTGAGAGACACCAGTCCTTGAAGTTGGGAACTGAGGAGGGTGCAGGCCGTTGGATTGGTAGCTGGCTGCTGGTTGTAAAACCTTGCAGCCGCCCACAGCCCAACAGCACCGGCTGCATACAAAACAACTGAAGCCATTTGGGGGCGATTGGGCACACAAGAAAAATAATTTAGGTAGGCAGAAAGGTAAGCTGGAGACGGAGGGAATAGTAAAACTTGGTAACTTAGAGCACAGGATCCAAGCATCAGGAAATTAGTTGTAAGCCCTAACCGCCGATCATCACTTTTCTTTGTTTCGTGCATCCAACCAAAGCCGGCCCCCCATGCAACCACAAAAGTACGGATTCACTAGTTCAGCCAGAGAGAAAGCAAACATGGCACGATCACTTCCGATGTATCCGACGGATTACAAGGGTGAGATCCTCTCCCTCCAGGGGTCCTACGATGCCTGGGCTGAGGCGGGACCAGTCCGCACGAGGAAACCGTCCGCGATCGGGGTGGTCAGGCGCATCTGCCGCGGATGTCCCCTCCTGCTGCTGCAGCCCAAGCTCGAAGTCTCGCAGCAAGTGAGCCACAAAGCAGAAAATAGTTTGTTTGGCCAGAAACCGTCCGGGACACGCCGTACTGCCTCCGCCCCACGGCCGATAGCTGGCATTCGATCGCAGCCCTGGATCCTTGGCAAAGCGATCCGCCTCCAGGACGTGCGGTGCACTGCCCCAGACGTCGGGGTTGAGGTGCAACTGCCTGTAGGAGGCCTGCACCGTATCTTGTGTCAGCGTCTTTTCTAGGTCTAGGTTCAACACTAAACACACGGCACCAGGACTTACAAGGACGCGGCTCCCGGCTCGTACCGTCTTTCCGCCGATCGCACTTGTCACCGCAATGTCGCGCACCATGGGACTGGCCATTCTTAGACGTAGCACCTCCGAGAAGAGCGAATCCAGGTGGGGAAAATGCTCGACGAGATATCGATGATCGACCTGGTCGCCTGTCAAGGCAGGTTGGATCTCGACCCGGATCGCGTCCAGAATGCTTGGGTCGTACACGATGTGCGCAACGAGCCAGAAGGCAGTTTTGAACATGTTTCCCAGAATCCTGTTTTCGTTTGTGGTTAGGGAATCTGAAGTGGCAATCCCAGCGGCACAGGGCTACTCACGCCCAGGTCTGTAACATAAACATGCAGCCAATCTCATGGTCGTTGAGCTTGTCCTGGCGGAGGACCCCTTCCACCGCCTGAACCCACCAATTCCCCTGCTCTCGCTGCTCTTGCGGTAGGGTGAAGTACTTTGCAAAGGTGCCCACCAGATGCCGTCGGGCAGTTTGCATGTCCCGACTGAGGAACGCCGGCAAGCCGAAGACGAACTTCCAGTTCACCCTTTCCCACACCATGTACCATTCCACAAAGTTCGGCTCAATCTCCCAGAGAACAGGTCCGTAGTACGCTTCTGCTATGCCTTTCACAAAAGCCTCAACGCCCACGCTGTGAAGAGATACAGCTCGGACGGACGCAGGTGCTGGCATCGTCTTAGGAGCAAGTGCTTTGAGGATGCAAGGTGCTATTCGGTCGGCGAGGAGGTCATCAAGACTTTTGCCGGGGGAGAGATGTTGACGGTATAAAGCCATCATAGCATCCGTGCTGCGCATACGCCGGGCGCTATTGACATTGTACGGGGCCTTGGGATCGACGTCACAAATGCGGTCCACTACTCGGCGAGGAATGCCGGCTCTGTGATAGAGTTCCTTGCTCATCAGGTCACGATTGAAGCTCACGGTGTCTTTGTAGAGTTCAGAAATATGCTTCGGACTCGAAACGACGTATACTTGTTGGCTGCCGGCAACCATGGAGAACGGTTCTTTCGTGTCGTAGTATTTTCTGGGATGTTCAGACTTGGCATTGTCATGAGCTACGGATGTTGAAGTACGCACGTTGCGTCTGCAATTGCTCCATTGAAGTCCTGGAAGAACGAGCCGGCATGACCTGTAGGAAGATCAGTACTGGTGGAATCAATTCGAGTTTTGGGAGAAAGGCCTATCCCAATCTTTCCAGATAAATGATAGTATGAATTCGGAAATTCTGAATTGCAGTGAGAAGACTTACATGCATCGTCCCCCATCCTCAGGGGAGGAAGTATCGACTATTGTGAAAATTCTGTCGGCATCAGCAAACTCTACCTTCTCAATCCGCTCTGGGGGCCATTCGCCTAATTCGGGAGCTGCCAATGCTAAATGAGGCGTCACAATCGACCTCCGGGGCCTGAACAGTATTGATATAGACAGTGATATATACAACTTTCAGGTTGGAACCGGGTTGACTTGGAATGAAGTATACCAAGCAGTTGATGGATATGATCGGGTGGTGATAGGAGGTCGGACTGGGTCTATGGGTGTGGGTGGTCTCATCACCGGCGGTAAGGCCTCTTTCTCCAGAATTCGTGACTGTGTGTAAACGTGCCTCTGAAGCCGAACAGGAGGCATATCAGCGTTCTCCCCGGTGTATGGATTTGCCCGCGACAACGTGCTCAACATGGAAGTCGTTCTTGCCTCCGGCGAGAGCGTAAACGCCAGCGCGAGCCACCATGCGGATCTCTTCGCTGCGCTCAAGGGTGGCCAGAACAACTTCGGGATCGTCACCCGCTCCGACCTGCGGTCTTTCCCCCAAGGCCCATAATGGGGCGGCGGAATCCAGTACGATATCTCCACTGTCGAGGAGCAATTGGCGGCGTTCACAGCCTTCAAGAACCCCGCCAATTTCGACCCCTTCGCCGAGATCAAACAGAGCTATCTGTACTACGGTGCCGAGGATCAGGGATCCGTCTCCAACATTATGTACTATTCGAATGCATCAGCTGCCCCTGCCTCTTTGCAGCGGTTTACGGACATCAAGCCACAGGCGCTGAACACGATGCGCATTTCCAATAGCACGGATTTCAGTGCAGAGCTTACACGCTACCAGCCTATGGACCAATAGTAAGTTTCCCCCCTTGATCTCTCTTTTCTCTTGTTGTTTGTTCTTGTTTTGCTTTTTGTTCATCTCTCGTCGAGTGTTGTTCTTCGCTGAGAGCCGGCGCGCAGTGTCGTTCACGCAACGGCAACCTTTCGGGTCTCGCCCACCATCCTCAAGAAGGTGTACGACGCGTGGAACGCGACCACCTTGAACATTGCGGGGGATGTTCTGAACCTGACCAGCGTGCTCGTCTATCAGTCCATCCCTGCGTTGCAGCCGGCATCGGGACCGCCAAACAGCCTCGGGATTCCGCCGGACAGCCATCCGGAACGGAATCAGGTCCTCTGCCTCGTGTCCCTCTATTGGCCACTGGAGAAAGACTCTCAGCTTGTCCAGCAAGCGACCCAGTCCATTATCAGGGCAGTGGATGCGCTGACCGCGGAGGAGGGTGTTCAAGTGCCATACCGGTACTTGAATTACGCGGCCTCCTGGCAAAGCCCGATCGGCAGTTACGGTCCGGCCAGCGTGGAAGTGTTGTAACGCGTTGCTTCAGCATAGGATCCCAGGGGTGTCTTTCGGCGTAATGTGCCAGGAGGCCTTAAGCTTTTTGACTAGTAGCTGCGATTTGATGTAGATTTGTATATGAAAAGTAACCAGATGCGCGAGTTCTGCGTGGCTTCTATTTGTACGCTATTGCAACAGCATCATAGACGCTCGGCAGGTTTTGGTGTACACTGCCTGTCGTGGTGCCATGACTTCACCGAGTGGCTCGTCGATAGTGTTAACAAAATCCCATGTTCTCTTACCCCGACCGGCCTAAGGAAATCTACCTCGCGCAACCACGCCCTACACACGAAATTCCCACAAATGCTCCTTCAACCTCATGTCAAACCCCTCTAACCTCTTCTCGAACTCATCCGCACCACCCCCCAACATCTCCTTCCCAACATTATCCCTCACGAACCTTGCAAAATGCCCCCTCGCCCGTCTCTCCACCTCCAAATCCCTCCTTCGCGCCCCTAACCCCGAAAGACCAACCAGAAAATCCAAATCCGACGTCTCCGTCGCATCATACGGCACCGGATATCCCCACGGCTTCGCCTCGCGATCATCCACATACCGCGTAAACGGGACCAGAACCTCGCGATACCCATACTGGCCGCCCGTAGGATCAAGCACCCATTCCTCACTGGAGAGGCGCATCGTCACCACCAACACGGTATGCGGACACCCCGTCGGGTCAGGGCCGGGGACGAGTCTCGTCGGACGAGGTTTTTTCTCCATCTGCAGGTCCATGAATTCGATACGCGTGTCCATCCCTATCCCCCCATGTCAGTACACATGACCCAGGTCATCAGTGCGGGATCACGGGAGGAGTACATACCAGCCAAAAGGCCCCTTATCAACCCACTCAACAGCGCCATCGCGGCAGTACACTGGTTCACGCACAGCGCCGCCTCTCTTTCCTCGGGCTTCGTGGTGAAATGTTCCGGAAAGTGTACGCGGGCCCCGGGGTCTCTGGCCTCCTGGTGCAGGTAGAGCGTCCCGTCGCGGAGGTCGATCTTCGTGAGGGCGATGTCGTACAGTGTCGCGCGGTAGGTGAGCAATGCTGTTTTGAGGACGCGGGCGGCGCGGTGGAGTTTAGTTCGCTGCGCCATCACTCTGCAGACGTGTTTGTGGACGGGCCAGTGGCGCTTTTGGCAGGCGCGGGTGCAGTACGCGGCGCAGGTGGTGTGGCCTGGTAGGTAGGCCGGGGGTTGAGGCAGCCGGCGCAGTGGAGGGTGGCGTTTGAGCCGCAGGCTGCGCAGATGGTGGGGGGGCCGGCATTGTTGGGTGGTTCGAGGTTGCTGGTGGGTTGTGGTGATGTGTTTGGTGAAGGTGGTGATGGGTTCGATGGTAGTGGGGTAGAGATACAAGGTGGTGGGATGTAGGAGAGGAGGTGTGGTTTCCTCAGTAGATGTGTTTGTGGGATCGGGCTACTTGTATGGTGTATGGTAGTCGCCAGTGTATGGTCTGGCTGTGAGTTTGGCAACGCGTTTGCTCCATTCACTGTGGGTGGGAGGGCAGTCGCAGATCAAACGAGATATGTCGCTGCTTTAACGACATCGTGGGTTGTCAGGCTGGTGGCCGTCGCCCAGCCACAATGCCTGTCTCTACGAGGTCTACCTGCTCTTCAACATTGTTCTTGATTTGTTCCCTTTCAGATTTCATAGTATGAATTGTCGATCTCGCTTGGAACATAATTCTACATCCAAATTGACGTATGATAGGTACTGGGCCGAATATACAATCATCCCCTAGAAAATTGGACTAGTAATAAGGAAGCTCTGTTAACCAGCTATCAGCTGCTGATAACACATATTGCTGTACAAATTCGAGTTGGAATACTGCTGGGTATATTTTAATTAGTAGTGTTGAGCTGCTACATCTGTCTTACAAGATACAGTATGTAAAGTAAAGGTCCACATTATGTACTTACTACTGTGCTATTACAACTTATTAGTTACATTTTTGTAAGTAGAAGCAATATACCTTAAGATAACATGTGTATATTCACACAACTTGATATTAGCAACGTAGATGTAGCATTATGAAGCGGGCCTTAGGCTACAAGAGTCCCAGCTATTGCAGCCTCGCTACCATGTCTTCCGAATCCCTCATCTCATGTCTCACTACTCGGAACTTCCCGAACAAGTCTGACAGTCCCATGAATCGGATCAGTCCATACCTCGTCTCCCACTCGGATCGGATTATCTGGATCTTCAGCGATGACGAGGTGGAGATCGCCATCCTCATCTTCAAGGGTTCTCAGGCTCACTGGCTCCCACTCCTCTGCCTGATCACCCGCCGTGCTGTTGTCAGCAGGCATTACATCTTTTTCGGATTGCTCCCCTCTGCGCCCGAGAACAAAGTTTCCACCTCGAAGATGGAATTAACCCCCGTCGTTCGTGCAGGTCGGCCTCTGCCTACAAAAATATCTAGGGTCCATACTCGTCAGTTGCCGGCCTGATCACCAAGGAAGCGAGGACTTACGCTCCCCCGTAGTTACGCAAGGTGACCCCATATCTCTGACCGTTCCGGATTCCGCTGTTGCGGTAGAACGCGGAAAGCTGACCTCCCTGGCCTGGGGATCAGAAAAGCCAGTCAGTTCGCTGCTCCAGTCACGGGTTCAGTCAAGAGCTCGGGATACTCATTCACATACTGTCGTTCTGGCCTTTGGGAACACAGCGCAACTTGGCTCCTGCTCCGCCCTGCCTGACACTGGCGAAGGGATACTCGTCGCATGAGTTTCCAAACCTGCGGTAGGGAAGGTTGTTGTTATTGCAGGGGTTCCTGCTGCAGCCCGAAGCCCTGCGACGGGGGGCCTGGTTGGCCCTGTTGGAATCATAGGTCAACATTCGCGTCGCGCGAGTGCATAGAACTGCCCAGCAAGCGTTCTGGCAGGTTCCGATGCTGTTGGCACAGTTCTGCGAGTAGTTGATCTGCGCTACCACCTCCGCCACCACCAGAACGAAGAGCAGGGAGAAAGCCGAGGGGAGTTTCATGTTGGGGGTTCTGTTGTGATCCCGATCATTGGCGGTAGAATCGGCATATTATGCTCGTTTCTTTTAACGCAAATCATCATGCCCTTTATATTCATTTCTTAGTTCATGGCAGGCCACCCTCCCGGGTACATCTCTTGGCCTTGTGCTTGTCGGGAGGTACAAAGCTCGGCTGACGGCGCATTCGGACCTCCATCATGAGTGTTTGTCCTATCATTCATGTCAACTAGGCTGTACTCCCCGCTTGTATTATTAGCACTGTACGCTTTCGAAGACACTCTGCCAATTTTTGTGGGAGGTAAAGTTGACCGCGGGTCGATGTCTTCTTTGATGTTTGTTGGCCATAGTCTCATCATGGCACAGGAGCTCTGGAGGACCTGTGGACTTAAGGTCACCGCTGACTATAACTACACAACTCAAGGCCTCATATATCATCTGAAAGTCCTTTGTTCATTAGCGGGAATGTTAGACGATACTGGTCATCTGTATGACCCCCACTTAGAGCTTGAGGATCAAATGGCGCAACAAGCAGTTGGCGGGGATGGTGTTGTCTTGGCGTCTAGGGATAGGCACTATAGGATGTTATCTACCATTGAGGACGAGAATGCAAGTGAGTGCAAAGCCGTGGGTGGATTTCGCTATGAAAGCATGTAGTCCCATTAATCGTAATCGCCGAATTCGGTTTCCATCGGGTTCACAGCCGGAAGTCCGCATCGCCTAGATTAGAACTCAGGTGGTGGCCTTTTGGGAAAGCGCTGTCACACACCCCGCAGTGAATAGGTAGGTAGCCTTGATTTCGTAAAATCTCGAGTCCTGGTTGGTGCCTGATTCTAGGCATCGATATCATGGCATGGGTGGTTTGGGACGGTGTAACTCACGTGTCCGACCGGGATATAAAGCGACAGCTCGGAAACAGTCTTGCGACTCTCAACCCACCTCCGAACAAGCTGACAACAACCGTCATCTTCTCCAGCCCTCCACCCATCTACCCCGCACGAGGACATCCACCATGAGCGGAGATTTCGTCGCGATTATCTGCACCGCAGAAATACCAATCCCGGTCCGTCATACCATCTCCTTTCCTCCAACCGACTTCACCCACGCACACAAAGCTGATTAAGCTGGATTGTACTTCACATCGCAGACCCTCAACGCGATGCTCACCGCATCGAAGAACCACAACACCGAAGCGCCGCCCTCCATCATCGTTCTCGACACCGACCAGCGCGACCGCCTTCTCCAGCTCGACTGCGATTCCGCTACCTCAGACGGGCACGTGGCCGATGAATTCATCTCCCCATTTGTGGGGATGGCCCTCCCCGAAGTGATCCGCTTCATTACCGAGACCGCCCGCGACACCGTCGTCAACCCGTACTCGGTCTTCATCGCGGATGAGCGCACGGCCGCGGACCAGACCGTCCTCGTGGTGGGCATCCACGACGAGACGCGCGAGGTCGAGGCCACGGTGCGGATGGTCCCCGAGCTCCTCAACCTGCTCGCTGCGAATCTGGTCATCACGAACACGGATATCGCGGAGATAAGATCGAATGCAGAGGAGACGGGCGGGGTGTACAGCCATTAGCGGCTGGAGAGGGGTCACGATGGTCTCGGGCTGATGCATGAAATGATGATGATTTTTGTGGAGATGGCGCACCCAGTCTGGGGTTTGGGTTAATCAGATGACATATTAGCGAGTTGGTGGCGTTTGGTGTAACCTTTGTCGGTCTCTTACCTGGGGAATTCCCATCGCCAAGCAGTCTTTATATCTCTTGTGCAATGGTACTATGCGTTTGATGGAGAGAGAAAGCATGGTGCAGGGCTCAATCAGCTTGGTCACATCAGTAGTGGGCCTGTACAAACGAGGAAGCGACTTTTGCACTCTTGATCAGTCGTATTGGAGAATGGAGTGCAAAACACCCTCAGAGAAGGCGCGTTCCAATGTCACAACAAAGCAAGCTAGAGCCTCCTTCTTTTAATGAACCTACTTATATGGTCGAATGGTCGAACGGAGCAGGATGTCCTTTCCCCGCCACCTTTCACACAGTGACCGGCAGCAGGCACAAGGGCTGGTCAGAACGATGTAATATTTGCTCAACTGTAGAGATACTGGTTTCGCAGGTACATCTACAGACTCCCACCGGGTGATGAGTCGGTGGTGACATGTTGATCTCATTTTCTTATTCGGTGGCCTGATCAAGGTGTCTGTTTGCTATCTCAGTCCAAAGTCAGTCAAGTCCAGCCTGCCGCCTTTTAGTGTCCGGGTCATCTAATCGAACTCTACATTTAATGAATCATGTGCTATGCCCAGGCTGAGTCAGCCTTGGTTAAGACTCCGCAGCAGGAGAGTAAAGCTCAAGCCAAGGAAACTGGATGAACTGACTGAGAAATACCCTCAGAATGAAGTGCCTAGTTGTGATACTAAGATCGACTGATTACAATCTACCACTTCGCGTCGCCGGCAGATGGTTCGGTGCTGCGGGGACTTTATCTGACGAATCGAGGCAGGGCCGACGAGTGGGGCCTTCGGCGCATTTCTAGGGCAAATCCCCCACGTGACAGCATCGAGATTCGAGGTTGAGATCAGTAAACCGCCGAAGCACTCTCTCTATACTGATAATTTATAGTTACCATATCTGGGACAGATGCAGATAATGCTGGACGCTATTTTGGTTTAGGGTTTGGGAGTTTGCGTGAGTGCGAAAGCTCTCTCTGCGCCATGTATATCCTTCTTCTGTTCGGGGCGCTCGTCTCCATTCTTGCTTCGATCTTCCTATCCGGAACCGCCAGCGTAACCAATCTGGTGAGCTGGGAGTCACCCATCGTGAACAAACTCGGCTGGCTGGGAAGCTCCAAGCCTCTCCCATCGACCTCCGTGCCCGCTAACTGGAACGGCTTCGGCTACCTCTTCAACATAACAGTCGGCACTCCGCCGCAGAGCCTGACCGTGTTAAGCGACTGGGCCTGGGTGACGCTGTTCACGCGCAGCGCCCGCTGCGAGGGGCGCTACGACCCAGCCCACTGCGTCGCCGCGGGCCAGAGCTACTTCGACGAGCGCGCCTCGACAAGCTACAGCAACCAAACCACCCTCCCGCGCCTCCGGTGGGACACGAGCCTCTACTCGCCCGACTTCACCGTCAACTACGCCACCGACACAGTCTGCATCAACCACCCGGACAACAACACCTCCCACATCTGCACCACCCCCTCCACCACAATCCAGGTCTCCGACTTCCCCTTCGCAGGCCACTACGTGCCCCCCGTCCCGTTCGGGGGCATCTTCGGCCTCGCGCCGGTCATCCCCGGCCTGAACGCGACCTACCACCCGACGCACTACCAAGCCTGGAAACAGGGCCGCGCGGGCGCGCAGATCGGATTCAACAGCTGCGCCAAGCTCTCGTCCAAGAGATTCTGCCACGGCGGCGACGCCAAGTTCGTCTTCGGGGGCACGGATCCTGCCCTTTATGATACCGACCAGGTGATCTGGTACCCGATCGTCACGCCGCCGTGGCTCGGCGACGAGATGTTCCTGCCCATCAAGCCCTCGATCTGGAACTTCTGGGCCACCCGCTGGACCGGGGGGTGGATCGTCGAGACCGAGCCCCGCCCCGATGGCGAGAAGAGGTGGTCGTCGTCGTCGTCGTCGTCGTCGCCGACCAACTACGCCGTTCCGTTCCCTGCGACGGCCCTGAACAAAGACTTCCTGCCCGCGGACCACCGCGACCGGACCTTCCGGCGCGGGTCCCCGCGGTATACCTCTACGGCCACGGCCGGGGGGGAACCGGAACTGATCACCCCGCTCGCGGTGCTGGACGACGGCTCCGAGGGGCTGGGCGTCCCCGTGACGGCGCGCCAGTACGCGGAGCTGGTGCGGCTGACCGGCGGCCGGAAGGCGGATGCGTCGACGCGCGCGGCGATTGCGGCGCAGTGGACGTCGAGCACGACGGGCATGGCCACGCAGGATTGGTATGTTATTGACTGCGCGACGGACGGGCGTCCGGAGCTGGTGTATGAGTTCGATCGCCGCGGGAATTACTCGGTCGGGGCCCAGGAGTACGTGCAGAAGATCTATGAGACTGGGGAGTGTTATCTCAATGCCCACGTGTGGGAGCATAGTCGTACGGAGACCGGGGATGCGACGGTGATCTCGGTGGGGGATGGGATTCTGAAGGGGTTGTATGTCGTGTTGGACTTTGAGAGGAATGTGTTTGGGTTGGCGCCGTTGAAGAGGGTATAACCTCTAGTTTAGGGGCATGACAAAGGTTTGCAGGGAGAGTCTCTTGATTTGTAATCAATCTTGCTGTGTTGAAGATATCTTGTGGAATGAGTGTGTACAGCTTGTAGGTTTGTAGTGACCCTTGGGTAAGGCTAGCGCTGTGGCATTTGTCTGTCTATGCGTATGCTCATTCAGATGCCATATGACGGTTCTTCATTAGGTACTAAAAAAAGAAAGAAAGGGGGGAAAAGAGGAAAAAGAAAATAAAAAGGAAAAAAACTTTAATAAAGAGTGAAAACAAAAGATGCAACCTCGAATAATGGAACGAGAATATACTTGGTATGCAAAAATGGGGACTCAAGAGCAAAGCCCTCCAATTTAAACTACCACACCGTACAAGTTCGGCTGTACCACCATAACATAATTCAGATTCATAAGTAAACAACATGACCCCCCTCTTGCAGAACATCCTATTCCTTCGTATACACGTACATCGGCACCCCTGACTTGGGCTTGGCCGTCGACGAGAAAACCTGGTACGCCTCGTCGCCGAACGCCTCGGTGCGCCCGCCGGCGGCCTCGACCTCGTCCGGGTGCCGCCGCCGGTACTCGGCGTAGGCGGACTCGAACCGGAACCGCCGCAGCGTCATGGCCAGCACGACCCGGATCTCGATCATGGCCATCTCGCTGCCGATGCACATGCGCGGCCCCTTCTCGAACGGCCGGTAGGCGTCCGCGGGCGGCGCGTGGCCGTTCCACCCCGCGGTCACGGCCTCGGTGCGCCCGTCGGCCAGCGTGATCGTCTTGGCCGTCATGAACCGCTCCGGGTGGAACTCGTCCGGGCAGGGGAAGAACTCGGCGTCGTGGTGGATCGTGTGGATCCCCACCCAGATCAGGCTGCCCTTGGGCACGGTCACGGCGGGCGCTTTGTCCGGGTGGAACGTTGTGCTGTCCTTTCAGTAAGCATTGCCGAATGTCTTTAGGGAGACATAAGGTGGGAAAGGGGGCGCGGGCTGGGGACTGACTCTTTCGGCGCCATGCGGAGACTGCCGGACGCGGGGTACAGGCGGAGGGTCTCGCGGATTACGGCGGTCGTGTACGGGAGTTTGTTGATGATGGAGGGCTGGTCGCGGATGAGCTGGCCGATCGCTGCCGTGTCTTTGCCCAGGACTTGGTCGTGCTCTTCGATGACCTTGGCGAGCGCCTCGGGGTGCTTGCTCAGAAGGTGGTAGATGTTCTGGGGTGGATTAGCATCAACCCATCATTTTCGGACCCCGCGGACTCACGCTGAGGGTGGTACTGCTCGTGTCGTGACCGGCAAAGACAAAAGTTTTGAGACTACACGGAGTCAGTCAGTCGCTCGTTCAGAGGGGGCACCTGTACCCACTTATCCACGGCAAGCTGCTCAAAGCCACAGTCGAACAACGACCCGTTCGGCAGCTGCTCGTACCGCTCGATGGCGATGTCCATCAACGTGCGGAACTTCTTGTTCGCCCCGTTGGCGGCTCGGTCGCGCAGCACGCGTCGGATGTAGTTGTCCATCGTGTTCGCGTACTTGCGGCGCAGGTAGTGGGTCACCGGGTTGATGTCGAGGGTCTGGCCGTTGGGGAGGAGGTCCAGGAGGTGGCGGAAGGCCTCGACCAGCTCGTCGCGACGGGTCAGTGACTGGAAGTCGACCCCCAGAACGACGATGCCGATGATATCGATGGTCAGCCGGGCGGCCATCGGCTCCATGGAGAAGAGCTCGTGCTTGGCGGCGTATTCGCTCAGCAGGTCGCAGAAGACCTCGGTTTTTTCGACCATCAGCGGCACCATGGTCATCAGGTGGGCGTTGGAGAAGCCCGGGGCAAATAGACTGCGCAACTCCTTCCATTTAGCGTCGTTGGCGGCCAGCACGCTGTTGTAGCCCGTGAGCGGCTTGAGGAAGCGCGTGATCATCGGGTGTTTGGGGAACGGGCTGCTGTCCTGAGAGACCTGGTGGGCAAGTTTAGGGTTGGCCACCAGGTACATTTGGTCCATCAGAGGCCAGGTATCGACGGTGAACATGTCACCCAGTTTGTACAGTCGTTGCAGCATCGTCATCTGGGCCTGGGGGTGGAGATCCTTGGGGGCCTTGCTCTGCACATGCATAAATGCGGGAAGAGTGCCGAAGAGGAGATGATGGGGTGGACCAGGCTGATCAGTCAGTACGTATTCTTGCTGTGTCCGAGAAAGCGACAGTAACAAAGGCAGACTCACCAATCCCCTGACCCTCATTCTTTCGCGCACTAGAATCGTCAACCCGATCACGACCGCTCCCACAAGGAGCGGAAGTAATACATCCTTGGGATTTTCCACGCCGATGACGGCGGGAAGATCCACCAAGAGTGAAGACATTGAGTGTGTCTGCAACTGAGTTCGGTGAAGAATTTCCTAGAGCAATACCAGCTACAGTGCCAGTACTGCAACTCAGTCTCACGTTCGTGTTCGACCGAGTCTTTATGGCTGACTATGTATTATCTCTGGCGGATCCTCGCCGGTGGTCGCGTTCGGTGACTTTGTATTGGCCAATCGATCAGGCCACGATGCCCTCGGCGATGGAGTAAGCGTAATAGCATGTCAGCAAGTGGTTGAAATGCTACCGTAGAAGGTTGCCAGTGTTGGCTTGGTAGTTGACTTGGTGCTGCGCAGTCGAGCGACCGTAGTGACCTGCCTCCCCGGGAGAAGGGCATTGGTGAATTCGGTTGTAGTCTATGGTATCTGTGCAGTACATCTATTAGGCAAGAACTTATATAGAAGACACAAGAGTAGAAGCTGTTATTGCTTAATTAGTGGCTTCTGCTGTTTGAAAAGAATACTGGGTCTGAGACTCAATCTCAATATTGTTGTGTAGCATGCATCATGGATGGCATGCTGGGACTCCAGGACGGACACTGGGCGCCGCCCACCGTATCGGACTGCATAGTTGGTAGTTACAGACTACCCGTATCAACACCTCGAGAGAGTAAACCATCTTGAATTTGACTCTCGCATCTCTCCCACCTAATGTGAAGTCAACCATCAGAGATCCGCGTAGCCCACGCTGCTTATTTCGTGGCTCAGATGGCTATTCCACACAAGATACTGATTCTTTCTACCGTTACATGCAAGCCACGTGGGAATTAATACAGCTCGCCAATATGATTCCGGCTGAGCAGACGGATTCCCCGTCGCCGCCCTTCCAGGCCACCACCTACGTATTCCATCGGGGATGATGCCTTGGATATGTCAACCCAAATTTTTGGGACTAGATCACGAATGCTGATTGTTCTGCCATTTGATAGACGATCTACTAAGTGTTGGTGGCGTTGTATGGCGATATTCTTGACTGGTCAGATACAGCGCGTCAGGATTCGGCCAACAGGTTGCAGCCTGAGCTCATCGAAGAACCGATCTAGCCTGGTCCATACTACCATGCAACCACGTTCCGATCGAGCGGATCAAATCCTTCAATAGCCTGATGACCCTCCAAATCGCATGGGTGACCCGATCGGTGACATTCGGCGACTTTGCGCTCCATCGCCCTCTCACACCATAACTTGTATTGGTGCTCTCTGGGTGAAACCGTTGCTGCGAAACGCCACTTACCAATGACTATCCTCGTCTCCAGAACCATTTCGTCCCCAAGGCCCTAGTGAATGATCCTCAGCGTCTGCTTGTGGATGGTGTTTTACATATGTTCTGCGGACAGTGGCGACAACAAGCCGCCGAGATCCTTTTGAGTAACTAGCCGAGTGGCAGTGACTCGGCGAGGCCTGTTCCTGTTCACAGAAGGGCTGTTTCAGCGCCCCTGACCAGTCTCTACATGGGTCGGTGGCAACCTGCTTAACCAGCAGTTAGTATACAAAGTATATTCTAATACCTCTTATCTGACATTCGGCTCCTACACAATACAGATACCGTGCAACATTCAACACGCTCGGTACTCTAGCCTTCTTTCTAGAGATCCCGTCATGATCATGACTGCCAACAACGATATGGCTGTTCCTGAGTCTGTGGTCGTGACAGAGGGCGCTTCATCCACCCCTGAACTCTGGCAGATGCTGGGGAGTCGGGACCAGCCCACCAACCTCACACCCCACGTCCGCATCACGGATGTTGGTCACAAGCAGCTACAAAGCTCTGCCAACCTTGTATCAGCCCGGGCATTACAGCAGCTCACAAAAAGCCTGCACGAGGGCATCTGCAGCACCGCCCTGGAGGATGACGGTCAGTCATCCAGTGCATATCACTCTACATATGCTTCGACACCAGGAAGCCTGTCGCCCAATCTGGAGGCTGTGCCATCAGAAGATGGTATACCAGATCTACAACCACAGTTCGAGGCCGTAGAGCGAGCTTCGTTCGCCCAGGAGAGAATCTGGTTTCTGCACGAGTACCTGACCGATCCCACAACGTTCAATGTCACCATGGCCTACGCCGTGCAAGGGCCACTGCAGCCCGTCGAGCTTGCAACTGCCTTCCGAGCCATGTCCAATCGACACGAATCCTTACGGACAGCGTTCTTCCTCGACTCGAGAGACGGAGAGCCCCACTTATTCCAGGGCATTCTGCCCGAAACACAGATCGAGATCAGCATCCATACCATAGAAAGTTCCCAGATCGTCGACGAAGTCTACGCATCAGTCAGAGATCATGTGTATGATCTCCCTCGTGGCAAAACAATGAAAGTGGCTATCCTGACCCTCACTCCAACCACGCACTTCCTGGTCCTTGGCTTTCATCATATCGCACTCGATGGCTTCAGCGCGCAAATCTTCATCAAAGACCTACAGTTGATTTACTCCACCGGACAAATCTTACCGCCCGCTCCACGATACCGGGACTACACACTTCTGCAACGTCAGTCTCTGGCAAACGACACCTACCGCGAGAGTTTGGACTTTTGGAAGAGCAAGCTCGCCAATCTGCCCCCACCGATCCCTCTCTTCGCCTTCTCCCGCGTCTCAGCCCGCAAACCACTGAACAGCTACCGCGTGCACAGTGTGGAGAGAACCATCGGGATCTCCCTCGCGTCGAAGATTAAGGAAACCGCACACAAGGTCGGAGGAACGACCACATTCTTTCTATACCTCACTGCTCTCCGGGAGCTGGTCTTCCGCCTCCTGGGCCACGCACAACGTGACATCTGCCTCGGTATCTCCGACGCCGGACGGGCGGACAAGGAAGCTCTGCAGGTCGTAGGGATGTTTGTCAACATGCTGCCGCTGCAATTCCGGGCCGCTCGCCCTGGTCAGTCGTTCCGTGATCTGTTGTCCACCACCACGAGGCAGGTCCGCACGGCGTTGACGCATGCCGCCGTGCCATATCAGGTGCTCTTGGATGAACTGGCCGTGCAGCGGTCACCCTCGGAAAATCCGTTGTTTCAGATCCTGCTGAACTATAAGATGGGGTCGACAGAGGAGGCGACACTGGGACACTGCAGGGCGCAGAGCTTGCGTATGAATGATGCCAGAACAGGGCTAGATCTGGTGATAGAAGTGGAGGAATTCGTGGATGGGAATTGTCAGGTGGCTGTTAGGGGACAAGAGTATCTGTATGGAAAGGAGAGTCTGGAGTTTATCTTGTCCTCGCTCGTGACGATTCTGGAGGAGGTCACGCTGCGGCCCAGTATGCCGGTTGCTAATCTCGCGATTTTCGAGGAGAAGAGTATCACACATGCACTCGAGCTAAGCCGTGGTGAGCGCGTCTTTACAGACGAGCACTTGCTGACAGTGGTGCATTTGTTCGATCGGCACTGCAAGGCTCACCCTGGGGATGTGGCTGTCAAGCAAGCAGATGGTCAGTTCCTTTCCTATGGCGAACTGCAGGGTCGTGCTCAGGAGCTGGCAAGACAGCTACAGGAGCTTGAGGGGTCGACCGCGGTTGTTGTCGCCTGCAAGCCGAGCCTGGACACCGTTGTCTCGATTGTGGGCATTCATTATGCTGGCTGCACCTACGTGCCGGTCGACATTGAGCATCCGGAAGAGCGACTGCGAACTATTGTGGAAGACTGCAAGCCGCGAGCCATCCTCTACCACGCGGATACCAAGAATCTCGCGGTGGCCTTGGCAGGTGGCGCTATAACTGTTCCCACACCGCAGTCCGGGATGGACAAGGCCTTTCCGGTCAAAGCCAGTGTCAACGACACCGCGTATATATTGTATACCAGCGGATCCACCGGAAAGCCCAAGGGAGTCATTGTCAGCCATGGCAACTTGACATGTCAGATAATGTCGATGCGACGAACTGCAACTCTGGGGAAGGAGACAGTGCTTCACCAGAGTGGTGTTGCGTTCGATGCCTCGATCGACTGCGTCTATGCTGCGCTAGCTGGGCAGGGGACGTTGGTGATGGCTCCTCCGGAGGTGAGACGCGATCCGGTGCAGCTAGCCAGTTTGATGGCCCGGGAGCAGATTACCTACACGCAAATGACCTCGTCCGAGTACCACAATCTCGTGGTGTATGGTGCAGAGCATCTGAAGCAATGCATCGCCTACCGCAACGCGTTCTGTGGCGGAGAGAAGTTTCTGTCTAGTTTGATTCCTCTTTTCCAGGGATTGGAGCTACCCGCACTCAGAGTGTGGAACCGATACGGTCCGACCGAGATCACTGTGTCGTCGAGCATGCAGATGATTGTCGGGGCGGATGGGTTAAATAGTAGCACAGAGTTGATCCCGTGTGGTCGTCCGTTGACGAACTACTCCGTTTTCATTCTTGATGAACAGCGCCGACCGGTACCTGCAGGTGTGCCCGGGGAGATCTGTATTGGTGGAGGGGGGGTGGCACAAGGGTACCTGAACAATGCCCGCCTCACGGCTAGCAAATTCGTCAAAAACATCTATGCTAGTGAGGATGACGTGCGGCGTGGCTGGGACAGGCTGTATCGGACGGGCGATCGAGGCTATTTGCTGTCTGATGGGTCACTGGCGTTTCTGGGCCGAATGGAGGGGTCCGCGCAGGTGAAGATCAGGGGACAGCGAGTGGAGCTGGATGAGATTGAGACGGCTATTGTGGCCACGTCTGAGGGGAGGGTCCTGTCGGCAGGGGTCTGCGTCAAGGGCGACAATGCGGATGCGGTGCTGGCAGCATACGTCGTGGTGCGTCCTGATGTGCAAGTTGACTCACTTTCGTCGCTGGTAGCGAGTCTGGCTCGATCGCTCCCTCTTCCCCGGTACATGCGGCCTTCGTCATTCGTGGCCGTAGGCAGGTTGCCTCACAACACGTCAGGGAAGCTAGATCGGCAGGCTTTGAGCAAGTTGTCCGGGACGCCGATTGCTATCGAAACGAACAATCACCCTGCTCCGCTAGGTGTGGAGGAGGAGGTCATGGCTAAGGCGTGGCGCGAGGTTCTTCCTGGCGAGGCAGTCTTGTCAGCCGAGTCCAATTTCTTTGATGTTGGAGGGAATTCGCTGCTTCTGGTACGGTTGCAGAAGGTGATTGAGGAGTTGACGGGGAAGAGTGTGGCATTGACGGAGCTGTTTTCGACTCCCGGGCTGTCGGCAATGGCCCGTCTTCTGCAGCCTCAGAAAGCCACCAAGGAAACCACTGAGGTTGATTGGGAGAGTGAGACCCAGCTGACGCCTTCCTTGCTCAGTGCTATCCAGACATCTTCCAGGTGCAGTCCTAGTTCGGAAGTCGAGGTTATTTTGACTGGAGCAACGGGTTTCCTCGGTCAAACCTTGCTGCAGCAGCTCCTCGCCCATCCGAGGATCGCACATGTTCATTGCCTGGCCATCCGCAACAGCAGCGTGACCCGGGGCTCTCTGACAAGTAATCCCGATCATGCTGCAAAGCTTACGCTCTATCACGGTGACCTTTCCCATCCCACTCTGTCCTTGGATGAGGAGACCATCTCCAGTCTCTCGAACAGAATAGGGTTGGTCATTCACAATGGCGCCTCCGTCTCCTTCTTGAAGTCGTATTCCACTCTGCGGGCACCCAACTTCCACTCCACTTGCTTCCTACTCCAGCTGTCGATCGAACGGGGCATCCCATTCCACTTCGTCTCGACAGGCGGCGTGGTCAACCTGACTGGCCAGCCAACCTGGACCCCTGTTTCGGTACGCAACTATCCGCCTCCGGGAGAACAGGGGTATATTGCGAGCAAATGGGCCAGCGAACGTCTCATCGAGAACGCCGCTGAGGCTTTGCACTTGCGTGGGGTGCACTTGCCGGTGGTGGTGCATCGGCCCGCGAGCATCGTCGCCCGACAACCTGGTACGCCCGGTACGTCGGAGAATGAACCTCCAGCCATGGATATCATGCACAACATGGTGCAGTATGCCCGAAGAATGCGATGCTTCCCGACGACGGAGGGGGTGAATTGGCGGTTTGACTTTGTGGGGGTGGATGCTGTTGCTTCGGGGATACTTGCTTCCGCTTTGGAGGACAAGGATAGGGGTGAAGGGGTGAAGTATGTGCATCATTGTAACGAGCGGAAGCTGTCTCCCAGAGAATTAAAGGGGGAGTTAGAGGAGGAGGCTGGGTGTGTGTTCGAGGAGGTGGAGGTGGGAGAGTGGGTGCGGCGAGCCAAGGAATGTGGCATGGATGGGCTGGTAGCGGCCACGTTGGTGGATCTGATGGAGCGGCAGAGGGGGGTGATGTTTACGGAGATGGGTCTATAGATTGCTGATAGCCGATTGTTGGCTTGTTGTACTGTTTAAGTTTTACTCCTAATTGTGGTTCAAACTATTCATCTCATTTGATCCGCATGTTCGGCTCATGCACGTACAGATATACCCTTCCGCCAGTGTTTTCTACTAGTCGACAGGGATAGTAAGCTTTAGCCCAGGTAAGCCAAAACGAAGAACACAAAAAGAAAAGAAAGAAAGAAAAGAAGATAAAAGTAAAGAAGACAAAGCAGAAGAAAAATGAACATATTGCAAGACAGAACCCGCCGTAATCATCCAGCATGACATCCATATTCCTGGTGCATTTTATTGAATACTGCACGTACTGAGGTATTGCCAATACGGGCCCTTTCAAGGTTACAAGTTTCCACGCTTCTCACTTTCGTCTGAGCCTCATCTAAATTAGCTAAACCTTTTGTGGAAGTATCTACTTTCCTTGTTCAGATCTTATCTTACAAGCAATAGCGATAGCACAGACCCTCAACTTGAATCCCGCGTGGCGCATTGCATGGAGCCCGAAGCAATCCGAGCAGTGAGCATGCCGGAGTGTTCAGCCTGCTCAGCTAAGCTTCTCGTGTCGCCCACCCCCTACTATCGCCGTTTCAAATACACGAAGGGCTTTTCAGTGCAGTGCCAGCTTGTTGATTTACCACGACACGACAAGCATCCGCGTTCGAGCATGAATCGGCAGTAGACGATGAACCGCATAACCTTGAACATGACACCTTCATGGCAAATCGAGCATAGTCTTCAGACAGATAATTGGTGCATTGAGTAGGTGCATGACTTGGGTATACTTGGGGGCTGAAATGTGGGTCCCTAAGCTGAGCTGGTTCTCATCGTTCTCATCACTCTCACTAATCCATCCGTTGTATAAAGAGGCTGCACTCCATCGCAGACTCCTGCAAATGCCCAAGCATCCGACTCCCGCTTCGATGGCAACCGATATCCCTGCTTCAGATCCCAGAGAAGAGACTGATGATGTCCAGCTGAATCTTCTCTCTGCTCCCACAAAGGGCAGTTCAATGGCGCCCCTCCCCCACGAAATCCCTCTCTCCCAATCTCCAGATTCCATCAACAGAACGACACCCTCCCTATCTGCTTCGCAGAACAACGCCGGCAAAACTGTAAAACTCACAAGCATAGACGACTGGATACTGGAGGCCGTGGCTCTGGTCGTCTCAGCCGGAACCATTGTCGCGATTGCCGCGATTCTAAGCCACTTCGATGGTCAGCAGCAACCGGACTGGCCCCGCGTCTCTCTCAACTCGGTGATTTCGTGGCTGAGTACCATCGCCAGTGCGGGTCTTATGTTTGCCCTCACCAACTCCCCGGGGCAGTTGAAGTGGGTATGGTTCGCGCGCCAGAAGAAGCGGCTGTCCGATCTCAAGCCGTTTGACTCGGCCAGTCGTGGGGGGCTGATTGGAAGCTTAGAGCTACTGTGGCTCCTCAAAGGCCGGTGTCCTCAAAGGCCGGTGGGTCTGAGCCTTGGGAAAAGAAAGAAAGTGCTCTCTTGCTGACCCGCAATCAGTCACTTTGCCGTGCTTGGTAGCCTCACTGCGATACTCGCGATCGGATTCGATCCGTTCGTTCAGAACCTCCTTCACTATGTGTCGAGCGCCATCGAATCGCCCTCCCAGGTCTCTCTCCTCGGCGCCACATCCCTATATAACGTTGCTGGTCCAATCATTGGAGCAGATTGTAAGCTCAATGATTCCTATGAGTAAAGTTCCATGCTTCACCTCCATTCTAACCAAGACGATTAACAAGTTCATTACGTGAATCCCATCCTTAAAGCCAACGTCTACAGTGCCCTCTTCAATCTTGATCCCACCGCCCCCTGGACCACTCCCCAATATACCTGTCCAACGGGGAACTGCACCTGGGATCCAATATCCACCTTGGCTATGCGGGCCCTCTGCTCCGACGTCACGCCGCATATCAATCGCACATGCACGACCACCACCTCGGACATCCAGAACTGCACGGTGCGCCTTGGGGACGATGGACCCACCGCCTGGTACCGCGAAGGCGGATCTACCTCGCAGCCCATGGCGATGGCCGCCGTCGCCAGCACCGAGGCCCTGGTGTACACGAACAGCACCTTCCCGGTAATTCAATACGTGCTCGCTGCCGGATCCAACAACAACTCCGAAGCCACCTGGGAGATCGCAGCCAGCATCAACAACAGCACCAGGTTCCTCGCCACGGAGTGTGCGCTCGAGCCGATCGTCCGAAGCGTCCGCGCCGCCGTCTCCTCCGGCACCTACATGGAAACCGTTCTGACCGAGTGGTCCCCCTATTACTACCCCAACGACTCCAGCATCTTTGAGTTCGCACTGATCCCGCCGACCGGGAACACGACCTTCGGAATGGGCTACGAAGCCTGGTCCTCTCTCACGTTCTTCGTCTCAACACTATTCACCGGATTTGTCTACGCCTCATCAGGGACCTTCGGTTTCGCCGCTGGTTCCGCCGCCTCCTACGCAGTCACCGATACGATCGAGGCAATCTTCTACGGCAATTTCAGCACCACCGCCACCTCCCCGACGATCAGGAGCTATAACGCCCGCAACCAGTGCACCGACCAGCTCAGCTGCGCCGTGACCAACGTCGCTGCCGCCATGTCCAAGACCATCCGGGACGCGGTGTTCACCAGCAGCAGCAGCAGCCGGACCGGCAGTCAAACGACCGGCCACACAATGGTAATGGTCTCGTTTGTCGCGGTGCACTGGGAGTGGCTCGCGCTTCCGGCGGTGGTGTGGGTGCTGAGCTGTGCGGTGTGGCTCGGGACTGCGGTCCAGACGCGGCGGCTGCATCTGCATACGTGGGGGACGAACCCGTTGCCTCTGCTGTTCTTATATCGGGGGACGGGGGCGCACGAGAACGAGAGCGAGAATGAGAATGGCGATGTAAACGCGGATGTGGACCATCCCCGGCAGTTGGATCGTCCGACGGCATGGACGACGAGCGCTCTCGACCACGCTGCCGAAAAGCTCCGGGTGAGGCTGGTTACGAATGCGCACGAGGTAGCGTTGCATGGTTGAGTGGCTGACGAGTGGTGAAAAACAAAAATAGAAGGTACGTATCGCAATGCGTCAACAGAACAAGCTTCGCTCTTAGTACTTCACTTGTTGAGGCTCCGACAGGGCAAACAAGATTTGACCCTCGGCGTTTTTGCTATACGACTACAATATACTATTTGCTGAGATCACTCGAACCCCCGATTTCCTCTATAGAATAGGCTATCGTTACAGTATAATAGATACTTTTTCTATGTACGGTCAGCTATCACTATAGACAGTGATTGCTGACCTAGGTAAGAACAAGAATCCTGAAGATACTGGTTTCGGTATAACTGGGAGGAAAGATCTCGTTGGGTGGGTACGAGATCACTGGGTGGGGGGGGGAGTGATGGGTTTAGCAGTAGTGGTGAAGACAAGGTAGGTGTCAACCAGCAAAACATCATGGTGGTTTCCTGGTTGAGTGGCTTGGATAATTTGTACCTCTCGATATAATATCACATGAACGTACGGCCGTGCTGTAAATTCCAAATGTCATGCACCGAATAGAGCGCGGAGTCCCCGCCGAATAAAATATGTTGCCCGCTGGAGGCAGGATGAAACCTCGGTCTAGTGGCTTTAGCACTGCTGAACTGACTATGCCTAGGGCTGCCGTGCTATCTGCTGTTCAATACTACTAGTATTCTGAATGACACTAAACGGGCAAAACCTCTTCTCTACTGATCGAGGATAATGATGTTGTGTGAGGAACTGTGGTTTACATCATTCATCATAGAACCATGCTCATGCTATCAGGTCCATAAGCTTATTGCCACTCCAACAAAAACAACAGGTTGTGTAGTGTAATGGTTAGCACCCAGGATTCTGATTCCTGTAATCCCGGTTCGATCCCGGGCACGACCTTTTTTGCAATTTTTTATTGCGTCATGCGGAACGCGGGTTTCCGCCCGCTCATTGTATCTCATCGCTACAGTACACATCAAATACTCCCTGATAATTCATCCTTCTTCGCAAAACAATCACTTCAGAGCCTCTGCTCCTGTGAGATGCCATTCCCATACATCTACTCCGTAACTCGCCACTGCAGCACCCCGACCTCTCCTTCTAGCAACCGCATATAAAAAAAAGTCATCAATCATTAATACCCAGAACCGTACATCTATATCTATCTGTATCGTCCACAACCCCCTTCCCTACTCCATCCCGACCGGAGCCTCCCCCGCCGCCAAATTACACTGCCGGAACAACCGCACCTCTCCCTCCCCGAACGCGCCGACCACCGAATGCAGCACGCCGCGGTTGTGGAACAGCACCAGATCCCCCTCCTCCCAGTCGTGCGGATACACGTACTGCGGGCTGATGGCCGGGCGCTGCAGCCTGTACACGATGTCGCGGACCTGGCGGAGATCGTCGATGACGGAGCCGTCCTTCCGGTGGATCTTGCGCACGGCGGAGGGGTGGATCTGCAGGGCCGGGTGGCCGGTGACCGGGTTCTTCCACAGCATGGGGAGGATCTGGATCTTGGCCGGGTCGATGGGCGGGAGGTCGGCGGGGGCGAGCTCGCGGTCTTCCGAGTACAGGCCTAGGCCGGTGGGGAGGGCGCGGGCGGGGGACATCCAGATGTAGCTGGTTGCATATGTCAAGGTCAGTTGAAAGAACTGGTTGAATGGTGTGTTTCGGTTGGGGTTGGGGGCAACCGGCAGGACAACGTACGGATGGGGAGCGTATTCGACGCGACTGGTGCGGACAAACTCCTTGTCCGCGGCGGAGAGCCGGGAGTACATGCGCTCGCCGCTGACGAAGGCGGTGGTGCCCAGCGGCACGTCGAGGGTCTCGTGGGAGCCGTCGTCGTAGCGGAGGGTCTGGCGGCGCCCGCGCGGCACGCGCACGGCCAGCAGGGTGGTGACGCGCGGCGGGTGCAGCCCGTAGAGCGCGGCGTCGATGTGCCACCGGTAGAAGCGGGTGAAGTCGTGGTCCTCGGCGTCCGGGATCGGGTCGCGGTGGAAGGTGCGGTGGTGCGGGTGCCGCAGCTGGATGTCGGTCAGGCCCTCGTAGCTGGCGACGTGGCCGTGGCCGATCACCTGCACCTGCGGCTGGTGCGGCACCGTCTTGAGGTCCGGGTGCAGGATGCTGCGTTTCGCGTCGATTGTCTTGCCGTGTCCGTACGAGGAGGCCGCCGGGTCGAAGCGCTGCGTCAGCTCGTACTGCGCCCGCGGCGTCAGGTGCTGCTGGTTCTTCACCACCACGACTAGGTGCTTGTAGAGCGCGTCGTGGATGGTGCTGAAGTCGTCGTCTGGAGGAGGTGGGTTTTAGTTACGGTTGGGGGGTTGCTGTTGGGAGAGTGTGCTGTACTGTACCGGTCAGGTTCTCCAGGTCGACGTTGTCGACGACCGCTCCGAAGTCGATGTCGGAGCCGGGAGGCGGGGTCAGTGGGTGGACAGTGGGTGCCATTGTGCTTGTTCGTGTGATTATGCGATGCAGCCACTCAAGGTATTGGAGAGGAGGAGACTCTATATATGAAAGCAAGCTGGGCTGGCGGGCCTCGCCGCTGGCACGGAAAAAGCCGATTTGATCGACGGGATGGAAGCTTATCGGCGGGTGAGCGGACAGACTCGCCCGCACCTCGGACGCCGAGAGGCCGAGCTTTCATTGTGGATTGCATAAGTGCCCATGACTAATTATGCTAGCCAAGCGGCACACTAAATTGCGTTATGGCGTGCGGCAGACACGATTTGGGATGAATCTTGTACATACTAATGACTATTTCTTTACGCTGAGTCTTGAGAGCCTTCCTGTTCCTTGAGTTTGACCCAACGCATCTTCTAAGATACTTGGCTCCAGCAAGATAAAGAGCTTAATATCTTGGAGTTGCGTCGCCAATCTTTCGCCCAAAGCAGTAGTCCGATGAGCAGCCGCAGGCTAATCACATGACCCCGCGTCAACATCTCCTCGCCGCGTCTCGTCTTCCACCAACAACACCGCCTTAACCTCAGTCAAATCGAAATCAATCATCCAACATCAAGTGCAAATTATATATTCATCTACCATCGTGGGTAGGCTATGTACAACACTGTCCTTCCGCCGTGCCTTAATGCAAGCATGCAACAACCGTGTCGTCGTATCACCATAGTTCCTCATGATATTAGTACAGCAAACGAAGCAAATCCAACGGTCTATCAGCCATGCTCATGCCGCTCAGCCTGAAAAGCACCCTTCAACCCCAAACTTTTCTCATGCGAGTGTCTTCCGAATATCGTACCATATCATACCATTAAAACAAGCCGTCTGTATGCGTGTGCGAATGCGAATGCAATAACCAATCAAGCAAACCCAAGAAACCCAATGCATCTAGCTAACACTCCCGCAGGTGAACGGGGAGCGAACGTCACCCTCCCGGTAGTTGTTGATCTAGGATCCTCGTTAGAGCCCGTTCTGCACACCGGGAAAAGAGTTGACTGGGGAAAAAAAAACTTACGATGTCCTGAACACTGGAATACATGCCACCGACCAGCACAACCAACCCGAAGATGAACACGAGGAAGTTGACGACACTCGTCAACAGATTCTCGCGCGAGTACCACGGCCCCTCGCGGATGAGGACATACCACATGATCGGGGGCAGGTAGAACGAGAAACCCGAGGTGAACAGCGCGGACGCGATGGAGAGGAGATCGTCGAAGAACGGGATGGCCTCGGCGATGACCCACGACAGGATGGTGAGTACCGTGATCAGGATCAACCAGGTGATCCAGCCCTTGGGCGTGTTGATGTACCGGGTCACGCTGTTGGCGTAGATGCGGCCGTGGATCAGGCGGCCGGCGACGATGGTGCAAATCGCCCCCGAGATGAAGATGACGGGCAGCGCGATCCCGAAGGCCACCTTGCTGACCAGCGCCCCCGCCGACAGTAGCGCGGGCGACTGCACGTCCAGGCCGACAAACGCGTAGATGGTCGCGCCCGTCACCGTGTAGATCACGATCTGCAGGATGCCCAGGGACCAGATCGACTTGGTGAAGTCGCGCGGCGTGTGCATCTCGTCCATGAACGAGAACAGGCAGCTGGCGAAGGTGTACGCGAACACGATGTTGCTGATGGCGATGAAGCCGTCGGAGAAACTGGGGTCCCCCTGCGGCCAGGCCGACCAGGTGACCGCGCCCAGCCCGCCGGCTGAGTTCGTGCCCCGCACGCCCGTGGCGATGATGGTGATGCCGATGGCGGCCACAATCGACACAAAGTCCAGGTACCCCAGCCAGGCCATGTCGGCGAAGGAGGAGGGGATGGACAGCAGCAGCAGGATGATCGCCGACACGACGCTGAAGATGACGGAGCAGATGCCGCTGCCGGTGATGTGCTGCAGGGCGATGGTGCCCGTCAGGCAGTTGGAGCCGGTCAGGAAGATCAGCTGCAAGATCAACATGAAGGTGAACAGCTCGTTACCCCAGGGGCCCATCAGCAGGGCCCCCGCATCGCCGTAATGCCGGACAGCCGGGTACGCCAGCTTGACCTGTCCAATCACATAGGAGGTGTAGATAGCGATCAGGCCGATGCCGACACAGCAGATCACGCCGGCGACCATGCCGAGCGTCGCGAACGCGGAGGGAATCGACAGCGAGCCTAACCCGATCGCCTCCACAATCAGCATGATAGTGAGCCCCTTCCACCCCAGACGGTGGTACTTGGCTTCTCCGGCCTCGATGATCTGCTGGTCTCCATCGTCCACGGCCTCAGGCAGCTTGCCCTCGCCGAGCCAAGCACTTTTGCCGGATGACCGCGGCTTCGTGGTCTTCTCGCAGTCATAATCCTTGCCGGCGGGCGTGGTACTGCCATCTAACAGTCCATTGGACGGGGGGCTCATGGTGAGCTAGACCGGTCACAGGTCAGATGCTAAGAAATTCCCGTTATCTCAGGGGGGCACACAAGCTCAGGAACAAAAGAAGAAACAAGCTTCAGGATTGACAGCAAGCAGCAGCAGCAGCAGCAGCAGTGGTGAGCATGATTCGCACGCAGTCTCTGGAGATGTGACACAAAAGATTTCTGATTCGATTTTACCCGCGGGATTGAGAAAACGAGACAATACCGGCGGGAAGAGCGATTACCCTGTTACACACCCCCGCGGCGGGTCGATCTATGTCCGTCCCGAGTTGTTGATTGGTCGCCCTGAGGGCCTTTTAACTATAAACAGTGACTGGGTCGGTCTCAGGGCCAATAACGGGGTGGCGGAAAACTGGCGTTGTTTCCCGAATTTCGACCCGTTCTGTTGTCGGGAAATTCGGGAAAAGCCGCAGAGTTTTCGCTGGGCGGTGGGTTCTTCTCGTCGTGGCATGATTCCTCTTCAAATCATGTTCAGGCTGTGTTCTTCGCATTCCTCTCCACAGAAGATTGACATCATGCTTGGTCCCTTATGTCTGCACCGCACCGGCAGCATTATATCAATGTCATTGTCCAGCATGCAAGGGGGCAGCCAATCCAGCAGCCGAGTTCAATAACTGCACGCGGGATGACGCATGGTAGCTCGTTCGGTGTTGTGGTCGGAGGGCTTCTAGATGGCTTGGCAGGTCGAGATCACATGATGTGATCCTTCCGTGAAGAACTCAATTCGACTGCACATGGGCTGGTTTAGTCTAACTATCGCAAAATGACGTTGTCTTTCACTGGGCACTGGGGATGCGTGGCCACTTCATAGGCGGTCACACCCGGCAGAACGGCAGCATTATCCGAAGATTATCCATTGATCCCCTCGTCTACTATCTAATCAATCTATCCTTTTATAATACAGGACATCAAGGGAGAATCAATTCTCGGCCGAGGAGAAACTATCCAGTGCAGCTGAGCAGAGCACACCCCTCCGCTAATTCCGCAAGGTGGGGCTAGAACCCCTCCTCACTCCACTGCTGAATCGCCCGCGCGCGGTTGCGCAAACTCAACTCCAGCTCGTGCACCTCGGCCAAGGCCCGGCGGACGACGTGGTCGACGCCCGACACAAAGGGCGGCGGGGTGGTCCCTGTCCCTCCGCCGAGAACCGACGATGGTGGAGTGATGGTCTCTGGAGTGGGGTAGTTGTGCGTGTGTCGCGATGGGGGAGGAGGGTGGAATGCGTGGTTGTAGGGAGCATAGCCTCTGCCTTCCGGCTGAGAGAAGAAGTGGCCGGACGAGGAATGGGAGTGGGAGTGTGCGGGATGGAAGAAAATGGAGCCTGCGGTGGCTGGGTGGTGGGGTCCTCCGGTGGCCGAGGTGGGAGGTGCTCTGGTTGAGCAAGAGGTGGTAGAGGCAGTGGACGATGTGGACGCGGAGGAGGAGCAAGAGGAAGGGGGAAGGTAATCGGGGCCGAGCAGCATCCGCTGGGTGGAGGATTTGATTTTCGTGAGGACGGTGTTGATCATCTGCACGTTGAGCATGGCCTGCAATGACCTCGCGGATGAGGACGAGAAGGAGAACGACCCGAGCGACACGTCGAGGAGCGGGTTAGAGCTGCTGTCGGACGCGGCGATATCTTCGCTGAGATGCAGCGGTCGCCGCGGGTCGAGACTGGCGGAACACCGCAGACGGTCCTGCAGGATGGAAATGAGGGCGTCAAAGTTGTGCAGCAGACGGAGGTAGGTCGTCAGCACAAGGAAGGCGAGGATACTGTGTTGGGGGTCGGCTGCCGAGACTCCGGGAGGCGTCGTCGCGCGCCCTCCCAACTCGTCCTCCCCGACCCCAAACGAATGATCTTGGCTCACGCAGTCGGCGTACAGTCGATCCAGGGTCGGATCTAACCCGTACGATCGAGAAGGCGGGCGCGTCTCGCGTGACCCAGGCGCCAACTGGGAGTTGATGCGGTGCAGGACATCCAACGTCTGCTCCGATGCCTTGAGATTACGCTGCAGATGGGTCTTGAACTGGGAATCGGGGATTGGCACGGCTTGCCCTCCGCGTCCGTCAGACATCTTCAGTGCCGACTGGGCCTTGCGGATCATGGCGGCCAATTCGCGATTATTCTGGTTCACGCTGGCTTGCAGCTGTACGAGGTCGAGCACGTAGTCGTCGGCGGTGGACTCGATGTCCGCGACCGCCAGAGCAGGATCGAGCGCGTGCTTGGGGATCTTGGCTCGATCGTCTTGGTCGGAGACGGTGAAGTCAAGATCGATTGGACCGGTAAGCAAATCCGAATATGGGACCGTTTCGGCGGGAGGCATCATCGGACCGGGTTCTCCCCAGTATGAATCTGTGTCATGCCAAGAACCGTCAGCCGGGTGCTACGTGCATTGGGGATGCGGAGTGAGGGAACAGGTCTCACCAACATCCAGCTGCATGGAGTCGGACTGGAACGCATCGAGGAGCTCACTGGTGCGTTCGCTGTCCAGGGGCTCGGGGAAGTGTGATGAGGCGTAATCCATGCCGGCCAACGGGCCCGCGGCGACGGCGGCACTACTTCGGTTGTCTGGGCTCCCCGCCGCTGTTGTGTAGGGGCTCTCCGCAGCGGATGAAGGGGCGAGGCTACCGCTGCTCTCTCGCTCGCTACTCTCCCAGCGGGCCCCGATCGTCGATCCATGCCGAGCCCGTCGAGGATCGGGGACCTCGGGCTCTCGGGCTTCAATGCGGGGGGGCCCTGACTCGGGCTGAGGCCGGCTTTTTTGTCGGGGCCGACCGAACCGCTGGGGCGGGTCGTAGACACACTCTGCATCTGCCTTGATGCAGCGGATACATGCTTTACTGGTGGTGACCCCCGGCGGACGAAGGCATTTCAGCTTTGAGGCGTGGCAGCGGTTGCACGCCTGGCGGGTGAGCGGGGCTTTACTCTGGGGGGTCGGTTGCGGCTGCTGTGGGTGCGACGCCGTCAAACTCATAGTCGGTGACATGATAGGAAGGAGTCGCAGGAGGTATGTTGTATAAACGGGGACAGTACTTGAGAATCGCAGCGCAACGAAAACCTACCTCTCCGGGTACATTCGGTGCTTTTATCTATGTACCGTACCTCCCTGCAGCGAGGCAGCAGCCGCGCCGCCTGCTGAGTACTTTTGGCACCGCTCGTGGCTGCGCAGGCATCACGATCCTGCTGCAGGCCTAGTCTCCACATGCAACACTGACTCGCTGGGGGGAGGGGGAGGTTTGCATGATCTGGAACTGAATGGAAGGTGTGCGTTTCAGTGAAGATTGGCGATGGATCAGACCGGCCATCAGATGGGATGCGCACGATGAATCCTGCGGTCTGCCTGATGCGACTTGGTGGTTGGTGGAAACCGGAAATGGCTCAACCTGGGCAAAACGAACTGCCGCTTGGATGGGCGGAGGTGTTGCGATCGAGATGTGTTTCCCCGAGACGTGCAGACACGCGGGCGAGGAGGCTCTGCAGTGGACATGATCTGATGTCGGGGGTGCAAGTCAGTGCAGGACACTGACCTTGGCTCCACTCTGCCCAGGCGCTGCCGATGTTCTGACACATACGACCTGACATAATCTCTCCATCCGAAACAGCAAAAGGTGGGCGGTGTAGGAGCGTGTAAACAACGGCCAGCCTTGCTGGGGATTTCTGGTAGTGTGCAGCGAGTGGCAGGGGTCAATCTCTCCAACCGCCAATCTCGCTGGAGAGGTCGCTATCGGTACGACCTGCACCATGCAACTCGCACCACTACTAGCCAGCCAGGGAACAATTCGGCACTAACCTCATGCCGAGTGATGAGCAAAACCAAGGAAAAGGGCAATCCTTCAGGGAGGGTGGCATGGTTGACGTGGAAGGATTGGCGAGATAGCACCGGTTGCAGGGTTGTTGCCATGTGCTGCACTAAGCCATGTGGTGACGTACGGGTTGCAGATTCAGATTCCCTGGCCTTTGTAGAGTCTGATACGTGAGGATCATTGGAGGGGGGTAGTGGGGATCGGATAACCGGGACTGTTGGCGTGGAGTACCGATGGAAGGAAGAGTTTTGGACCCCAACGGTTGACGATACCATGCATGCTTCTCTGCAGCATTATTGACTACTCGTAAGTTAGATGGGTAGGGAGTAGGCTAGGGCTAGTTCGGTGTTGTCTAGCGAGTCCAGTTGGCGATGCTATTGCATTGTTCCATGTCTAAGGGCATTGAAGAAGAAGGGGGGGGAAGGAGTGAAGAGAACTCCGCCCCCACGTTAGCCAACTGGGGAAACAAGGACGATCAAGCCCTTGCAGCACCAGGATTCACGACTAGCCAGGCTTTGTGTCAACATTGGACTAAGGTAGTAGTCTCGACTCGACTCCTCTTCACGTTAAGAAAGGAAACGCCCGCTAACCTAGTGCCCCGCCAGCCGGCCGATCGGCGGGTTTTGACCTATCAGCCGTGGCGGAGGGGGCAGTGGGTCGAGATGCTCTCGGCGGCGGTCGGGGGGGAAATTCGCTCCGATAGACGCCAGTGTTTGAGTGTACGCCTACTGCTTTGGAGTTGGGTCGACCAAGACCGTCTTCCTCTTTTCGAACACACACCTGATCACCAACTTACGGTATACTACTATGTCAATAGCATGAATTGTGTGTCTCGTGAGAAACAGATATGATATGATACCAAGCCCCGAAAAAGCTTAGCAATCACATGACCCCACTAACCCCGTCCCCGTCACCATAACTGGAAGCTAATCTTCCTTTCCGCGACGGTGAGCGCCCGGGCACTGTTTTGGCCCTCGTATTCCCTTCCCAGCGGGGATTAAGTGAATGAATCCTCCAGCCAGAACACCATGGCTATGGCCTCATCCCTGATCCATCACATCATGAAGGATGCACAGGATCTGAAGGATCAGCACTGCTCATACTAAGTACTGTACTTGTGCACTGGGTACTTAAGTTTTCGCGCTCCCGACGGTCGGTCAGCCTCGTCTTTGGCTCGGTCTGCATCATGCCACCCCGGGGGATGGATGGTACGCCTCGAGGCTCTGGCTCTGGCTCAGTCTAACCCAACCCGGTAGCCCAGTAGCCCAGGCGAGATCCAGACCCATTCCAGGGTATCTCGGCACTGTCATCTCACTTTCTTACTTATCACTGAGTAGCTATAGCTGTGTGGTAAGTAAGTAACCCATAGCCAAAATAGTACTGCATAAATCGATTCGATCGGATACGAGTACACTGCCGAACTCTCATCCAAGGTGTTTGCACTCTTCACCCAATAGATTAGCGACCTGGCAGGACGCCTAGCCACTCTTGGCAGATATGTCCGAGTGTGAGTCGAGTCGAGTCGAGTCGAGCACATATGGATGAGTAAGGTACATACTATTTTTGAGTGGGACATTGCCCCTCGATTACGGAGTACTAGGTAAGTGATTTATCCCTTCTGCCGTCGACAGAGCATGAACAATAACAAACAACCCAACCCAGCACGCCAGTTGATAAGTTACTTCTAGGCAGCGAGATTACTAGCGCTGACTTATAGTATACGATCAGGGCCCGTAGATTAGGGTTCTTACTCTTACGCGGTGACTTGCCGTGCTGGGCCAGATATTCGATTGCATGATGCCCTGTCTGTCTGTCTGTCTATTTTAGTTTAATTGAGTAGTCAGAGCACGAACTTTAGTGAAGTAGACGGCCTAGACGGCAAGTTAGGGCTTGGGGGCGACCGAGCGGACGACTTCCGCGGGAGGGCGGGGGAAGGAGGAGGAGGACAGACAGGACACGTGGAGGTTTTCTGCGGTTGGGCGGGCGGGCGGGCGGGTAGTCGGGTGTGTCGAGTCGTGTTGGTAATACGCTTACGCGCTGCTGTCTATTTTGTATTCTTGTTCCAGAAGGAATGAGCAAGGGTGATGGGGTTGATTGGTGTTTTGGGGGTGTGTACACACTGTAGCTGGAGGGGATTGTTGATGGCTGGAATGGGGTTTAGTCTTCGATCCGGGTGCTGGATGGGGTGATCGATCGTATTCTGGGGATGTATGTGTGGGATTTTGGGTTTCGCTTCTTGTGATTACTTATTAGGATTAAGTATTTTCTGGGTCTATTTTACTTGAATTCTTTTCTAAGATGAGTTCGGATTGGGGATTCATGCAGATGTTGGGGTAAATATATAGTTGAGGAGGGGGGGTTGTGTACTGTGTCTTGTGCACCGACCGAGCCACTGAGAAGCGAATACAGACTTATCAATCATTGCTACTGGTTTCTGAGTAATTAAGAATGAATTTGATGAGGCGTATTTAAACATAACAAATGTGTAAAGAAAGGTGTCTTGATGACTCTACTGGTTGTACTGGGAATTTGAAAGAAAGGGGGGTCCGGGGGTTCTCCCCGGGACGGTACATTCTAGGACTTAGAACTGAGGTTACCAGGAAGCTGAAAGAAAGGGAGGTCCGGGGGTTCTCCCCCGGAACGTCTTACTCTAGATGTATACAAAGGTGCAATTGCATCAATGCCTCTATGTGAGGAACGGGATACAACAGGCACAACAAAAAACATAATCATTAGTGAACTACAGTAACAAAACCACCTAGCTATCCTGCTTCGCAAGATCTTCCTTGGCCGACGAAGGCGGCATCCCAAACAACCGCTCGAAAAAGTTCGTCGTCGCCTCCAGCCCGCCCGGCGCCGGATTCTCCACCTTCTCCCCGTCGGCCTTCACGACCTCGAACCCCGGGAACGCGGGCAGCGCGTCGCGGATCTGCCGCGCGTACATGGGCATTCCGGCCGGGTAGGACACCAACTCGAAAGGCTTGCCGGGGATGGAGCCGCCCATGTAGGTGGAGTGGACGGTGGGGAAGAAGCTGGCGTTCTGGAAGGCGCGGATCTGCAGCTTCCAGGCGTGGGCGGCCTCGCGCGAGGGGTTGATGGAGCGGATGGCCTGGCGCTCCATCTGCTTGATGGCGTCGGCGATCCAGCGGCCCTGCACCTCGATGGTGGTCACGGCCTGGCTGAACAGGGTGGGCGCGTGGGTGCCGTACAGGTGGAACAGGTTGGGGTAGCCGGCCACCGTCAGCCCCAGGTAGGTCTCGGCGGCCTGCGACCAGTCCTCCTGCAGCGTGGTGCCGTGGATGCTGCGGACGCCCAGGTTGATCATGCTGCCGGTGGTGGTGTCGAACCCGGTCGCCAGACACACGACGTCGACCTCGTGCACGGTGCCGTCCTGCATCCGGATGCCGGTCTCGGTGAAGCCGACGATCGGGTTGCTCTTGGCGTCGACCAGCTCGACCGTGTCGCGGTTGAACTGCTCGTAGAAGTCCGTCTCCAGCGAGGAGCGCTTGCCGCCGAAGAAGTAGGGCGGCTCGACGGGCGCCAGCAGGTCTCGGACGCGCTCGTCGTTCAGGCGCGCCCGCGTCTTCTTGGCCCAGAAATCGTACAGGTAGCGGTTGGCGACCGGGTTGAGCATCGTGTCCTTGTAGTTGGCGGTGGAGAAGTCGAAGCCGCCGGCTTGGTAGCGCTGCTCGTAGAAGGCCTCGCGCTCAGCCTCGGAGTCCTCGAGGGCGCTGCGCTCGCTGAAGTCCACCAGCGCGCCCGTGAAGGTCTTCTCGCGCAGGTCGAACAGCTGCGGGTAGATGGGCTTGAGCTGGTTCTGCTCGTCCGCGGTGAGCTCCTTGCGGCGCATCGGGATGGAGTAGTTGGGCGACCGCAGGAAGACCTTCAGGTGGCCGGCTTGCGGGCCCCACGCCTGCGTGACCTGCACGCCCGAGGCGCCCGTACCGATGATGGCGGCGCGCTTGCCGCGCACGTCGACCTCGTGCTCCGGCCAGAAGGAGGTGTGGTGGATGGGGCCCTTGAAGTTCTCGATCCCCTCCCACTCCGGGATGTAGCGCTTGGACGAGACGCCCGCCGCGGCGATGAAATACTTGGCGTACGCGGTGCGGCCGTCTTGGGTCTTGACGACCCAGCGGCTCTGGCTGGTGTCGAACTGGGCGTCGACGACGACGCTGCCGAAGGCGACGTCCTTCTTGATGTCGAGGACCTTGTCGACGTGGTCGAAGTAGGCCCGCAGCTCTTGGTAGTCGGGGTAGTTGGTGGTCCAGGTCCAGTCCTTGTAGGTCTCGGGGATGGAGAATTGGTATAGGGGCACCTGCGAGTCGACTCGTGCTCCGGGGTAGCAGTTGAACCGCCACGTGCCGCCCAGGTCGGAGCCTGCCTCGTAGACGACGGTTTTAAGGCCCTGTTTGCGCAGCTCGTGCAGCATGTAGATGCCGCTGAACCCGGCGCCCACGATGAGGACATCTACCTGGAGGTTTTCCTCGTAGATGCCCGTGGAGCCATGGGGGTGGGAGAATTCTTTGAGCTCGCGATGCATGATGCTTAGGGTTGTGGGAGAGATGTGGGTTGTGTGAGGTTGAGTCTCATGGCGATGTGATTATTATAGTTGATGCATAACGAGGTCCGATTCGGCGAGTAGATCTGTCATGCCACAGTTTGCTTTCACGATGGGTGGTGTTTGGTGTTGTTGGCGTGTGTTGTTGGCGTGTGTTGGTGGTTGTGTTGGTGGTTGGCCGGCGAGTATCCTATCTCTCCGAGGTCCGGGTGGTGAATATCGCCGACGGCGCCGATACAGATCGTCCCCGGTGGGAACCTCAAACCCACTCAAAAGAGAGCAGTGAGCAACCGACTGCAATAGCTGTGTGCTTTGTGGGACGAGGCTGTGTGTATCCACTCTGATTGTGCTGCCACAGGCTGTTTCTGTCAGCTGGTTTACCTGCCACAATCCTTAGTTATGCAATATGGAGTTGATTAGTTCATCAACTGCCTAATCTGAGACCGACTCTGATATATACCTAGAACAAACACGCTCCGGGGGAGAACCCCCGGACCCCCCTTTTTTTCAGCTTCCTGGTAATACTCAACCCTAAGAAATAACACAATCTTAGGCATCCTAGAATAAACACGTCCCGGGGGAGAACCCCCGGACCCCCCTTTCTTTCAACTTCCCAGTAACACCCAACCCTAAGTTCTCCAATGAACGTGACCTAATAGCACTCAAGCATATTCATGTTCACCCAGATTAAAAGACACACATTCCAAGCCCCCCACAACCAAACCAAACCCAACAACAACAAAGACAATCTACTTCCTCCCCAACCGAACATAGACAAACCAACACTCAACAGCCTCATTCCGATGCCCCTCCAAAAACCTCGCCCTAGTCCGCTCCACCCACTCCGCCAACAGCCCATCGACCACCGTCTGATCCGTAACGCCCATCCCCTCCTTTACAGCCTTAACAAAATACCCCGCCACAACAGCCATCAGCCAATCCACCACCGTCCGCGCATACCACTCAGCATGCTCCTCCTCCTCCCCCGGCTTCGCCTTCCTCCGATCCTCCAATTCCTGGAGCGCAGGATGCACAACCTTCCGCTCAAACACCTCCTCCACCTCCCAATCCGCCACCACCGCCCCCTCCGCCAGGGTACGCCGCACATCCGCCATACAGCGATTATAAGCGGGAACCTCGAACACAGTCGCGACGGCGGGACTCAGCACGCCCGCCTGCAGCATATCGATCATCGCCGCGCGACACGCGTCCACCGGCCCCGCATAGTTGGTGATCTCCTCCCCGTTGGGCCCCAGCTCCTGCCCCACGAAGCTCAGCACCAGCGCCCCGCCCGGCACGATCTCCTCCGCGCGATGCGCCAGGAAAGCGAGGAGGTCGGCGTGCGCCTGCGCGCGGAACTCGGCCTGCCGGACCTCGTGCGTCGGGACGGGGCCCTGCGGCGGCACCGGGGTGACGCGGTCGAGGTGGTGCAGGGCCGCGAGCGAGAAGGCCACGTCCACGCTTCCCTTCGGGGCGACGCGCGAGTAGAAGGAGGCCGGGAGGAGGGAGGTGAAAACTTTGTTGTTGTTGGTGGCGGGCCAGGTCATGGCTGTCAGATTGGCGGCGAGGGTGGTGAAGTCGTTGGCGGGGCGGTCGTTGAATTGCAGGTGGATTTCGCGGGTGGGGGCCGGGGCGTGGGATTTGAGGATCGTGGTTATCGGGGTGTGACTGTAGTATCTTTGGTTAGTTTGGGAAAGGGGGTGGGGGTATGGATTGGGGAATATTGGGGAGGCGCACGAGTTGTTGCCGTGGGCGGAGCCGAATTCGAGGATTGTGAGGGGGCGCGAGGTTGGGTCTTGCTGCTTCGCTTTGGATGCTGCTGCTGCCGCGGATAGGAGAGGCAGGGCGTGGAGCATGGCGGCGTGCTGCAGGGCTGAGTTGGAGCTGTAGAAGCCGTTGCCGTGCATGGGCACGTCGTTGGCGCTGACTTTGGCGGGGGACATGTTGATGGCCTGGATTTACTTGATGGGTCTTTGCTGGGTGGTTTGAGTGTTTAGGGTACTGGTTACGGTCGTGGTGGTATATATACTAGCATCTGCAGTCGTCGGCGAGTTACAGCCGGCGAGATTCGGTGGGTTGCTACTGTTACGGATGCATTCGATGCATAGCTCGATGATAGTAGGAAATTCCGGGACTTTTGTGCGTTACAGCTCAGGGATAAGGGTTGTTTTAAGCTGGGAAGTTGAAAAAAAGGGGGGTCCGGGGGTTCTCCCCCGGGACGGTAGATTGTAGAACTTAGATTTAAGTGTTACTGGGAAGCTGAAAGAAAGGGGGGTCCGGGGGTTCTCCCCCGGAACGGCATATTCTAGGACTTAAGACTAAGGTACCTAGGAAGATCACAACAACATGAACTCTGTACAGCATCAGGGCTACAGCTACCTCCTTCCCACGGTCATGAGATATCTGTGTCCCCGCATCTGCTGCGCGATCCGAAACACGGTCGACTCATCCTGGCCCGGCACATACTCGAACCGAAAGCGCCGGAGCAGCGAGACCAGCGAGAGATGCATCTCCTGCGCGGCGAAGTGCTTGCCGATGCAGACGCGACTGCCCGCCGAGAACGGGTAGTAGGGGAGGCTGTTGGCCTCGCCCTTGGCGTAGACGTCCAGCCAGCGCTCGGGGAGGAACTCGGTCGCGTTCGGCCACAGAGTCTCGTCCAGATGCACCTCCTGCGTCGTGGGGAAGACCGTCGTGCCCTTGGGGATGTCATACCCCAGCAGGGTCTCGTCCTTGCGCGACTCGCGCGGACTGCCCGTCGCCTGGCCGGGGACCAGGCGCATGGTCTCGTCGATGCACGCCTGCAGGTAGACCATGCCGGACATGCTGTAGTCGCAGTCCGTGGGACGCGGGTCGCTGCGGGGATACCAGCGGTCGATCTCCTCGTAGAGGGCGGCGAGCTTGCGTGGGTGGCGCAGGAGGTGGATGAGGGTGAACAGCTCGGCGTTGGCGGTGGTCTCGCTGCCGGCGATGAGCAGCACGACGCTCTCGTCCTGGATGTCGGAGACGCGGAACGGCGAGGCGGGGCTCTCGTCCGCCGCTTCGATCATCTTCTGGAGCAGGTCCTCGCGGGGCGGGCCCTGGCGGCTGGCGATCTGCGCGCGGCGCTTCGCCACGATCTCGTTGGTGAACCAGCTGACGTAGGGGTCGCGGTTCGGGATGAAGGGGATCTTGGTGAGCCACGGCATGAACTGCAGGATGCCCGACAGTTTGAGCGCCTGCTTCAGCCGGTCCGGCAGCGGATGCGACCCGTTCTTGACCAGGTCAAAGGTCTGCCCGAACGTCGTCACGCCGATGATGTCCGCCGCCAGCGACTGGATCATGTGCTGCATGTCCACGGTGGTCGTGCCGTTTGCACACTGTCTGTCGAGCTCGTCCACCAGCACGGAAATGCAGTCGCGCATCAGGGGCTGCATGCTGCGGATGTACCGCAGGCCGAACATGCTCGAGACGAGGCGTTTGCGCTGGCTGTAGGCCTTCTTGTCGGTGAAGGCCAGGAGGGTCGGCCGCTGCGGGTCCTGCCGGAAGTTGCCGTACACGGCTTCCGATTTGGCCCAGTCCTCCGTGTGAACGATGCGTTTGATCTCGCGGGCGTCGGAAATGGAGATCATGGTCGGGGAAAGGGCGACGATGGGGCCGTACTTCTTGTGCAGGCCGACGGTGAAGATGTGGCTGGGTTGTTAGACCCCTGTGACGATCTTGAGGGGGGAGGAGATTACCTTTCACCCTTGGCGATTGCGATCTTGAGGGGCAAGGAGGTGAGTTTGTGGAGCCATGAGCCGGGGATGCGCGAGACGGGCGAGAAGGGTCGCTGCAGGTACTGGAATAGCTTGGGGATGATGTAGCCGACGAGGAGGAGCGTCCAGACGAGGTTCATGCCGGAGAGGTAGGGCTTGAGGAGCCCGGTGATGTCGTGCATTTCCGCCATCGTGGCTGTCCTTTTTGGAGTGGGCGGTGGTCCTGGTGGACGCTGGCTATTTATCGAGTGGAACAAGTGAACAGTGAACTATGTAGTGACTACCGGCGATGGCCAAAAGTCGCCGATCCGCCAGCTGGGTTCAGCCCAATGCTAATATCAGTGGCATGACTGGTTATGAAGGCCCAGTAAGACTATGGAACCATTGTTCCTATTGAATAACACTCAACCCTAAGTCATCGAGTATACCGTCCCGGGGGGGGAACCTCCGGACCCCCCTTTCTTTCAACTTCCCATAACACTCAACCCTAATATATACACAGAGTAAGACGTCCCGGGGGAGAACCCCCGGACCCCCCTTCTTTTCAGCTTCCTGGTAACACGCAATCCCAATACATACCAAGCCTAACAGAATTTTCCCCCAACGATCCTCAATACCCCTATTTGTACACATGCACCGATTTGACCTGGCAGAACCCCAACAGCCCCTCCAGCCCATACTCCACCCCCACCCCGCTCTGCTTATGGCCGCCAAAGGGCACGTAGGCATTTGGCTTGGGCGGCCCGTTCACAAACACATTCCCCACGTCCAACTGGGCCGACACTCTCTCCGCCAACTCAGCATCCGCCGTCCAGACAATCGCGCTCAACCCGGTGGTGCCCTCGTTCGCGATGCCCACCACTTCATCCGCGGTATTGAACGGCTTGCAAGAGACGACAGGCCCTACAATCCACAACAGTCACAGTCAGTACAAACCCACGGGTCAATCGATCACCAGAAAACCCACCAAAAACCTCCTCCTGCAGGACCCCCGCCTCATCCGGCGGATTATCCAGCACGACGGGCCGAACAAACAGCCCCTGCTCCTCGCCCCCCTTCTTCCCCTCCTCCCCACCCGCCACAAACCTCAGCCCTAATTCCTTACACTCCCGCAGCACCGCCTGCACCTTCTCAAACTGCATCTCATTCTGCACCGGCCCCACATCCCCCACCACCTGCATCTTCTGCGTGACATCCCCCAAAACCCTCACAAACTCCCCATAAACAGACGAATGCACATACAGCCGCCGCGCATTGATGCACACCTGCCCCGCATTGAACCACAACCCGCCCGCAATCTTCGCGGCCGTCGCCGCGACATCCACATCCGGGAAAACAATCCCGACGTTGTTCCCGCCGCTGCGTGCGTCAGCCCGTCTCTTCGGTCTTGGGGAGGGGAAGGGCATACGTCTCCAGGGTAAACCGCTTCATGGTCTCGGCGCAGCCGCGCATGATCTTCTGGCCGGTGGCCGTGGACCCCGTGAAGGAGATCTTCTGGATGCGCGGGTGGTGGACGAGGAGGGGGCCGAGCGTGTCGTCGCCGCTGAGGGCTTGGAGGATCCCCGGGGGGAAGATGTGTTGCGCGAGGTGGATGAGTTTGAGGGTGGTGTAGGGGGTGAATGGTCTTGTTTGTTAGTTGGGTTTGGGGTGCTACAGGGGGGAGGGGAAGGGGAAGGGAGACGGACGAGGGTTTGACGATGATGGTGTTGCCTGTTGCGATTGCGGGGGCGATTTTGCCCATTGCTAGGGGCAAAATTTTAGAGAATGCTTGGAGAAGTGGGTGATGGATGCGGTAAATACCTAGGCTGATGGGGACTGGTGCTGGTTAGCAAGCATGGCTGGTGGTAAAGGGCAAGGCACGTACAGTTCCACGGACAAATGGCGGCGACCACGCCCAGGGGCTCGTACTTGGTTATCGCTACGAGCTCGTCGTCTTCGTGCTTCGTCTCGGGGAGGGTGTACTTGGCTGAACACGCGTCAGCTTGGTGTTCCCTTGTGTCTTGCTGTGACCTGTACGCACCAGGATACCGCAACCACTCCGCCGCCCAGTATACCTCGATCGCGGCCGTTTGTCTCTGTCTTTGTCAAAAACTGCACACTAGGAAGACACACCGCCAAAAAAAAAGAAAAAAGAAAAAAGGCAAGGCATACACTCCGCCCCGTCTCCGCCATCAACAGCTCCACAAACTCCTCGGCATGCTGGAGGTAGAGATCCGCGAACTCGCCCAGCAGCCGCGTGCGCTCGGTGTAAGGCACCGCCGCCCAGCCGGGGAAGGCCGCTGCGGCGGCGGCGACCGCGTCGTCGACATCCTGCGCGGTCGCGACCGGGACGTCCCACAGTTTGGCGCGGGTGAGCGGCGAGACGCCCGCGTGGACGGTGGCGGCGGAGCGCGGCTGGCCGGCGATGATGTTGTGGAAGGTGGTGAAGTCGAGGGACATGGTGTCGTCTGTCTGTGCAGAGGGGCTGGGTGTTGGAGCAGGCTTGTAGTTTGGTGTTCTGTTCTTCTATGGACATGTGTGCAAGTGGTGTCGGCGAGTTTCGGTGAGTTCGGCGGCTCTCTCAGCCTTAAGCCCTGGAATGAACACGTTCCGGGGGAGAACCCCCGGACCCCCCTTTTTTTCAACTTCCCGGTAACCTGCATTTTAAGACTTAACTGGGACTTGAGTGTGGCCAGGAAGCTGAAAGAAAGGGGGGTCCGGGGGTTCTCCCCCGGGAAGCCCTACTCTAGGTACACATCAGGATGCGCACTACCGGTTGAACACAGGGAGTCACGGCCCTATTGCAGAGTCAATGTAGTAGCTACCTAGTCATGAATACAGCTCTCTGGACAGAGCATCGATTGAGTTAGTTCGAATGCAGTAAGACAGAGACAGTCTACCTCGCCTCCTCCACCCGGCCGCCCTTCCCCATCTCGACCCCCTCCCCCACGATCCTCGTCTTGGACTCCCCTTCCCCCTCGGCCTGCATCCCATACTCGGTATTCAACTCCTCCCGCAACCGATACGCCTTGACCAAGAAGCACAGCAGGAACCCCACCCCGCAGAACGCAATACTGACCTGCCACACCTCCCGTAGACTGGCCACGTACAGCCGCCGAATCGCCCGCATCACCTCAGGTCTGTCCTTGAACGAGCTCATAAACGCCTTGGTAGCGCGCTCGTACGCCCCTCCGTTCACCAGCAGCCCCCTGACCGTAGGATCATCGATCGTCTGCGACGCGAGGGTATTCGCTTTCGTATTGAACACCGCCGCGGGGATCGCGGTGCCCCAGATGGCGCCGAAGTTGCGCATGAAGATCCAGGTGGCTGTGCCGGTGGCGACGTCGCTTTCGGGGAGACTGGCGAGGATCGGGGGTAGACCGGTCGTGAAGACGATGCCGGTGCCGACCCCGAACAGGATCTGGTAGCCTGTCCATTCGCCGGTGGTGGTGGACTGATCCAGCAGGGTGAAGAGCCCGCAGGCGATGGTCATCAGGGCGAAACCAACGTACTGGAAGCTCCGGTAGCGGCCGGTCTTGGTCATCAGGATGCCGGCGACGATGCCGGCAGGGGCGGTGGTGGTGGCGACCGGGAAGAGCATGACGGCGGAGCGCGTCGGGGTGGCGTTGAGCACGGCCTGGAAGTAGATGGGCAGGAAGTAGCACACCCAGAACAGGAGCAGGCTGTAGATGAAGGCCATCACGAACAGGGTGGCGGCGGTGCGGTTGCGGAACAGGCGCAGTGGCATCGTCGGTTCGGGCGGCAGCGCCTCGTAGGCGATGAACCCGAGCAGTCCCACAAACCCGAGGACAAGGGGCACAATCGTCCGCCACGAGGACCACGGGTGCGTCGTGCCCGCCCAGGTGAGCGAGAGGAGGATGGCGGTCACGCCCAGGGTGAGCAGCGTGATGCCGCCCCAGTCGATGGTGCGCAGACGGCGCAGGATGCTCGTGTCGGAGCGGGGATTGCGGACCCGCAGGAGGGTCACGATCAGGAACAGCGAGCTGCCCGCGATCGGGAGGTTGATGTAGAAGATCCACCGCCACGACACGTTCTGCGTGAACCCCCCGCCCATGATGGGCCCGACCACGGCGGCGAGCGTCCAGGCGGCGCCTAGGATCCCCGCGTAGACGCCACGCTCGCGCAGCGAGACCATGTCGCACACGAGCACCTCGGAGAGCGTGGTGATGCTGCCGCCGCCGAGGCCCTGGATGGTGCGGCCCGCGAGCAGCATCCCCGTGTTGCGCGCGGCGCCGGAGATGGCGCTCCCCACGGCGAAGATGAGCAGCGCGAGGGTGGTCATGCTGCGCCGACCGAAGATGTTGGACAGTTGGCCCACGATCGCCGACGAGACGGTCGAGGACAGGAGGTAGGTGTTGATGATCCAGATGTAGAGCTCCTCGGAGCCCAGGTCGGCGGTGATGGTGGGCAGGGCGGTCGAGATGATCGAAGTGTCGAGCGCGGCCACGAAAGTCGCGATCCCGATGGCCAGGAAGATGAGCCAGAAGCGCAGGCCCTTCTTGGGAGGGGCATTCGGCTGTGCTGGCACATTGTGTACGTCGTGTTCAGACATGTTGTACTTGAGAGTAGGGAGGAGGGGCCAGTGTGCTATGATTAGGGTCTATATAATTTGGCCGAGGGGCTGAATCTCGCCGAAAGGATTTATTCCCTGCGGTTACACTGCAGATCCTATAAGCTACGCAATGCTCAACCCTAATGTACACCTGGAATAAACACGGTCCGGGGGAGAACCCCCGGACGCCCCCCCGTTTATCAATTTCGATTTCCCAATAAGCCTCAATTCAAAGTCCCAGAGTATGCCGTCCCGGGGGAGAACCCCCGGACCCCCCTTTCTTTCAGCTTCCTGGCAATACTAACCCTAAGTCCAAAGTAAACACATCCGGGGGAGAACCCCGGACCCCCCTTCCTTTCAGCTTCCAAGACTCCTACACGCTGCAGCCCACTAAACAGGAGCCACCTTCCGTACGGCAACCAAGCACGGCTCCCCAAACACCTCCCTCACCCTCTCCGCCCCAACCACCCGAAGATACCACCGCACCACCCGGGGAAACCGCCCCCTCATCTCCTCATCGATATAATGCATGAACGCCCAGAACAGCGCCGACGCGAGCGTCAAATCCGCCAAGGACAACTCCCCCTCTGTCGCAAGAAACTCCTTCTCCTTCTTACCCACCGCAAGATGCCGCTCCACCACCGCCAACGCCTCCTCCAACCCTTTGGCCCCCTCAGCATCGACTCCCGCATCGTACTCCCGCATCCCCACGCGCCACAGCACCACCGCCGCCATGTTCCGGAACACCTCGTTCTCCGCGAAGCAGATCCACTGCCGCACCGCCGCCTGCTCGGCGACATTGCGGCCCAGCAGCGCCGGCGCCGCGGGCCCGCACCCCGCCACGTACTGCGCGATCGCGTCGGATTCGACCAGCGTCACCTCGCCGTCGGAAGATTCGAAGGCGGGGACCTTGCCGGTGGGGAATTTCTGGAGGAATTCGGGGGATTTGTTGGCCGTGCCGAAGGCGAAGGGTTGGGGGACGTCGAGGGTGAGGTTGTTTAGTGCCGCCGCGGCTTGGATCTGGTGTTTGTTAGTAGGGGGGG